ACGGCGTTGAATGCGATGCGACGATAGTCAATCGGTAAGTACGGGCGAACGTGAGGCGTCGATACTTCGCAGTAAATAAACTTGTTTGAAGTAGGTATGGATATTTTCTTAAGTTGAATGTTTGTTTGTTTAATTAATTTGTGAATATTGCTGTCCTTTTCTTGTGCTTGGGATAGTTCGTCGTAGTTAATTGGGGATGGTAAGTCGATAGTTTCGACGCGTGATAGTGCGTCGGCGACTATGTTGTTCGCGCCGCTCACGTGACGTAGGTCGGTTGTAAACTCGCTAATGAATAATAGCTGACGAGTGCGTCGTTGTGTGTCGTTGTCCGACGGCGGCTTACGTATTGCATAGGTGAGCGGCTTGTGATCCGTGTATACAATGAGTTCTCTTCCTTCGAACATTTTTCTGAAGTGTTTGATCGCCATGTATATGGATAGTAATTCGCGGTCAAACGTACTATATCGTTGTTGAGCTTCAGAGAATTTCTTTGAAAAGTAGCCAAGGGGAACCCACTTGTTTTTTATGTATTGTTGAAGGACAGCTCCTGCACAGGTGTTTGAAGCGTCACACATGAGTGAAATAGGTTGAGTTGGTGACGGGGATGGGTGAGCGAGTAAAGCTGCGTTTTGAATGCTAGCTTTACACAACTCGAATGCTTGTAGTGCTTCGTTATTCCATTCGATTTTGGTTTTGTCGCGTTTCTTTGAGTTATGTAGAAATGCGTTTAGCGGTGCTTGTATATGGGCTGCGTTATGTATGCTGTCACGGTAAAAGTTCACCATGCCAAGAAAACGACGTAGGTCCGCTATTGTTTCCGGTTTGGGGTAAGCAGAGATAGCGCTGACCTTTTCAAGTGGAGGTTTGATTCCTTCGCTCGACACTTGATATCCCAGGAACTTTACGTTTTCTTGGCCGAAGACACATTTAGATGGGTTGATGGTGATACCGTAATCATTTAATCTTCGAAGCACTTCTTGTAGGTCTTCGATGTGACGTTCTTTGTTCTCTGATGCGATGATTACGTCATCAATAAACGGAAATGCGAAGTCTAGATTGTTGAGTACTTGGTGAATGAATCGTTGGAATGTTTGTCCCGCGTTTTTTAAGCCTGGACACATTCGTGGAAACTCAAACAAACCAAACGGGGTTGTGATGGCTGTTTTCTCTATGTCAGGTTCGTAGACAGGTAACTGTTGATAGGCACGATTCAGATCGAGAGTGGTAAAAATCTTCTTGCCGTGGAGGAGGTATGTGAAATCTTTAAGGCGAGGTACTGGATAGCGGTCGGGCTTAGTGACGTCATTAAGTCGTCGGTAATCACCGCATACCCGTATGTCGCCATTTTTCTTTGGTACGACGTGTAGTGGGCTGGACCAGGGACTTTTGCTTGGACGGCATAATCCCTGCTGCATCATAATTTCAAATTCTTTCTTCACGGCTAGGTATCTGTGTGGAGGTAGTGGCCGCGTTTTACTGTGTACAGGTGGACCGGTTGTTTCAATGTGATGTTCCACGCGGTGCTTCGGAGTGGTCTTCATGCATGATGGTCTTAGGATGTCTGGGTATTGACTTAGTATTTGATGATACGGCTGTTCGACGTCTATGCTTCTTACGGTTGGCTCGGTGGAATATGAGATTGGGGCTTGGACGGTGAGGTTGGTGACTTTGTCGATAAGACACCGACCGGCTATGTCGACGAGTAGTTGGTGGTGGCGTAGGAAGTCGGCGCCGATGATTGGCTTACTGACCTCAGCAACGATGAATTTCCAACTGTATGGTCGTCGTAGGTTTAGGTCTAGCTGGAGTGTCTTCTCACCGTAGGTAGGGATGACTGTGTTGTTTGCAGCGTACAAACAAAAATCGGTTGGTGTTACCTTCACGCCCTTTCGTCTAGGAATAACGGAGACGTTAGCGCCAGTATCAATTAGAAATGACAGACGTGAGTTTCTGTCTGTTATAAATAGGCGGTATGACGTAGTTGTTGCGCCGGTTCCCGCCTCATCCAACGCAGCTGTTAGTTTTCCGGGTGGGGGCTGTTGTTCTGGAAATTGCATGGACGTGTGCTGTGCCTCCTTCCCGAACTTGCGGTGGTAATAACAAATACCAGATTCTGTGCGGCGTGGAGTGTTGTCACGCTGTCTGGGGTGGGGACGATATCGGCTCGACGATCGTGACCTTTGGGGTCGTCTTGATTGGTGGTTGCAACGATGACTTGACTGCGCTGCTTTAAGTTCAGCGATTTCCCTCGTCAGCATATCGATCTTGTCTTCGATACTTGCATGTACACGGGGAAATGTCGGGTTTTCGGTGACAGCGGCGACTGTACCATGGGGTTGCGTCTGTTCGAGGATCTTGTCTGCCATCATCGCCAAATCGTGGATATCTGAGTACTTCGCGATGTTATCGTTGACAGCGAGGACTGCACGCACTGACTGTGGCAGGTGATTGGTCCACATGATGCGAAGTGCAGCGTCAGATATGTTATCCGCGGCGAGATTTTTCATTCGGCGAAGTAACTGTGATGGTTTTAGGTCGCCTAGCTCCATCTCTGAGAGAAGCCGTTGTACTTGACGTTGCTCTGATTCTTCGTAGACCTGGAGTAGCCTGTTTTTCAGAGCTTCGTAGCGATCTCTCTCGGGTGGGTGAAGGATAATGTCGCTGATTTCGTCGAGGTCTTGTCGTTCCAGGTGTCCGACGACAAGCTCGAACATGGCTTGGTCGCCCTTCTTCTATGGCGACATTATTGCTTCAAATTGAGCAAACCATAGGCGTATCTTGTCGCGCCATATGGGTGGGATGCGCAGCGACGTCGAAACGCTAGAAAGTTCCGGCATTTTTTCGACCGACATTACGACGAGCTTGATAAGGTACAAGGCGATTCTTGCAGGGATCCGTCGGCAGGATGGCGTCGATAATCACGTCGGGGTCACCACTGTAGGAACTAGGTAGGAGAGCCTAGTTGTCCTACGAGAAGGTTCTTCTTGTAAATGATACTCGTTGAGATGCGTGTTTCGGAATGATTTATTTCGCTAATTATTGCTACTTATATCTATATTTACAATTACACATCAAAACCATATCGCGCGCCGTTAGGTATGTGTTGACCAATGGCGACGCGCCGGCGAGCGCGGGCCGCGCGGGGCGAGGGCCGCCGCTTTGGTCGCGGCGCCGCGCCGCCGCGATCTCTCGTTTGCATATAAAAGGGTCGCGCGCCGAGAGCGCGACATTTCGCCGCGCGCCATCGTCGAGTGCAGTACGTGTGAACATTGAAGACGCGGCGGGTGCAGGTGCTCCGCCTCCGGCTCCGCTAGCGATGCTTGCTAATAACAAACCGCTTCTTTCGAAGCGACTACGCTCGGCACGGCGTATTACGCCGGGCCGAAATAATTGTTTCTGGCAGAGTCTAAAACGTTTACTGTCTTTTTCAAGACAATATTTATCGTTTCATGTTAACACAGTCAAAAACGTTTAAAACTGTCTTTTTCAAGACAATTGTTATCATGTTTCTGTTGATAACGGAAAGTCTCAAAACGTTTGTATGTGGAAGGTATATGGTATCTGGTTTTGAGGTATGGTAAGGTATTCGATGGTATCGGTAAGGTAAATATATAAGGTAAATTGGTACATGGTTTTGAATATGGTATTGGTAGGTATGTAGTCGTGAGGTGCGGCTACAAAGTAATAACACTGAGCAGACTAGGTAGATCTAACTTAGTTTACATTATCAAAATAAAAACATAGACTTATTGATGTTAAAATAAGTGCTTACTGTACAAATTCAATTAGGTAGATGTTATAGGCTAAGGGATGTTTTAAAATTAAGTACGGAAACATTGCAACTGGTTTTTTTCCTTTTATATGTGTTTCGGTGTCTTTGAAAGGAACTAGGACATGAATCATCTCGATTCGGTGTCAAAATGTTGAGAAATTTACAAATATTTGAAACGACAATATTTACTGTGCTTAAAGGTTTTTAAGGAATTCCTATTAGAAATTACTAAGGTGAGTAATTACTTACGGCTGTAGGTGGCTGAATTGACTGTGGGAATTTTAGAATAATTACATTTTGACTCATTACTTGTGTTTGTCCATTATGAATCGAGTGACTATGACTATAAAACGTTAGTAAATTGTGGATAGTGGTTGCCTTTTAAAAAGGAAAAAGTATTTTTTAGATCTTTCTAACTTTGAAGGTATGATATATTGATGTGAGGTGTAATAAGGGAGTTGTAATTCCAGATTTATAATGACTACAAATGAATTAGACTATTGGATTAAATGAAAAATAGATAGCTGCTATAACTATCTTAGCTTAGGGACCCTTCAATTATTAGGTATCTGTTATTTTGTTTACTAGGTAAACTTTGGGTCAATGTTTGAACATCAGCGTCGTACGAAATGCGTTGCAAATGAAATTAGAACATGTTGCTAACACATACCTACAATCAATCTAGAAGGTGTCTACCGATTTGCACTTACAAGATTAGGTAAACCTACACTTAAATTACATTAGTGAGCATCGGATTACAATAGGCCAGAGGAAGAAATTAGGATTTTCACACTTTGATTAGAATCTATAAAGATTAAATAGAAAATTAAATAGATTTTTTTTCGCTAATTGTTATGAGAAATTCAACTTCTTCTGAATGTTGGGAATATAAGGATAATAAAGATAAGTTTGATTATAATGAGTGAGGGACTGGCTATTCATATCTCTAATACGAGTTCCAGAAAAAACCAAGGTTTAGAAAGAGAATACGAATTCTAACGCAAAAAGCTGACGGACACATTCAGTCAAAACGCTACGCATCTAATCAATGAAACAAATAAAAGCGCAACTTTACCACGAGCTATTTAATAAACAATAACACACCTAAATTAAAGAGGGATCAGAGCACATGGCGATCTATCTTTCGAAACAACAAAGCCGATTGGTGTGACGTTCCACCCCGGTGATATGTACGTCCTACTACCTAAATGCCTTATGTACACCGCTAGTTACTACTTCATGACTACTCCGAGCTCAGTGTGTACTGCAATGCAACGGAAAATATGCGTGTTTACCAAAGTCGTTTCGGTAGAACGGTGTCGTGTGTTGCGTCACGTTTAAGGAAATTGATAGTGCGCCGAGGCCGACGTGACTAACATTATCGTGATTGTGCTCATTTTGTGTTCAGTTTTTAAAAATTCAATTGATATATTAGTGTGGTGCTGTGATTTAACATTAAAATGGAATTTATTTTTTCTCATCCCGTTTCTCCCTGTGGGTGGAGGCCAGACAAATGTCCGACGTTCGACACGCCGCGCGACCGACATAACCTTGTGCTGTCGAGTGAGTATATTTTTTTGTTACAGTCGTACTCAAACTAGTTAAATACCACGAAAGTCTAAGTAAATAGGAATATTTACTCAATTTTGGTACAGTATTATGCTAAATAATAGTTTTAAAAACATAAATGCAGACGAATTAAGCATATTTCGAATAATAATATCGAACGTCATTACGAGGTTCGCTGTACAAGATGGCGGCGAGTGGGGAGAGGGCGCCCAGTTGGCCAGGTGCTGCCGCCGCGTCGAGTTCGGCGCTATAGCTAAACTAAATACGCAGTGTTGTACATTTAGAACGTTCACAATGGCTACCGCGAAAGACACGTCTACTTTCTTTCTGGAGGCAGATGCAAAAGATTTTGACAGTGTTTTAAAGTTATACCCTCAAGCGATTAAACTAAAAGCTGAATTGAAAACAAAGAAACCCGATGAGCTCATAAAATTGGACAATTGGTAAGTACAAACGCCTTTGAAAGGAGAAAATGCGGCCGTGGCGTGTCAATGAACTTGTATTGTGTGTGTATCCGTGCAAACTGATTTGATAGCTACCTCCCTCGCGGACTGCATCTCTAGTCCGCGGACGGCTCATTAAAACCACTGCGTCACGTGGGATCGATGTCAAATTGACACGATCGTTTTTCCTGAAGCCAGTGTGGGGGAAAATATCGGCGCGCTTAGGCGTTATAAAATGGTGGCTGTCCTTTACGTATCATGACTCGTTTTAATGCTCCGAAGTTTATGTTTAGGGTCGTCTGCTTGCTAATTCTAGAGATTCCTTAACTAAATAACAGCCTTGATAATGTGCAAGATATGTTGTTGCATGTTTCACAAGGTACTTTGCTAGATAATACAATGCGTTGTTGAGTACAACTCACAATTCACATCCGTTCAAAATGGTGACTTGCCTTTTAAAGTTAAGTTTTATTATTAGTTTTTCGACTTGTTTGGCGTTTGTTTGTAAATTTCGATATGATAACTAAGTTATCTGATATATTTGTGGTATTTTAATGCACCTATCTTTTATATTATTGTATTAGTTAAACAGGCACAATGAGTCATCGTGTACTTTAGTACTTAGTAAACTTTTACCAGAGCGTAAAGTTTTACATTTTCTCACAATTAGTATTGGGGAGAGCTCTTTTTTAAATTTTGTGATAGTTTAAATATTTTGTTATAAAATTATTATACAATATTTTAATAATGAGCCAATAAATGAACACGTTTTACTCACCCCTTAAATAAGTACAATGAACATTCTTTTCATAATAACAAATTTTACAGTAATTTTTATATTTTAAACATTTTCAAAATCAATTTCATAGAAAATGCACAACCGAAATTAATATTTTTATGTCACTTCATACCTATTTATTATAAAATTTATTAATATTATATCTCAATTAAATAAATAGTTTAGTCCTTTCCATTTTTTATATTATTATAGTTTTCTACAAATAGGTATCTATCTAGTTGAGCTATTTCCTAATCAAGCATAGGTTTTTATCATTATTACAAATACGAGCAGAACATCTTCTATGACTAAACGATGTTTTATGTTTTTAAATTAATCACTAATCACATAAATGAATTACCACATAGATCAATATTGTAAAAACTAAATATAAATTTCTATTGATCTTTCTTTCTACAATCTGTAAAACAAAGTATTGTATTGACAACAAAAACTGTCGCCTTTCTTGACCGTACATTTTAACAAACGTTTTACCATATGGCTGCTGAAGAACATGTGCTAAACGAACAGAGCAATAAAACGGACCGTTTCTAGTAATTAGTATGTACTTCATGTACTTTGAATAACAAATTGTAGCGGAACGTTAAAGTACAGCTCTCATTCCCACAGAAAGATTGATATTAATGTTTTCATTTCAACCCTCGGGAAGGGTTGAATTTCGAAATAAATTTCTGTCTCGTTCGATTTATCCGTTTCAATAACTCTAGACTCGACCCTAGGGCGATCTAATCCGTCGAGATTTTGCCATGGTGATGAAATTTCTACAATAATTTCTTCATGTTTGCTTGCAGGTACCAGAATGAATTGCCAAAGAAGATTAAATCCAGAGGCAAGGACGCGCACATGATACACGAGGAGCTTGTACAACTCATGAAATGGAAACAAGCGGTCAGTACGAGTTTATTATACTAACATCCAGCGAAACCCGTTTCATAACCATCGTATTATTGATAAACTATTAGTTTTTGTGTCAGCCCCGCGCTGACAAATGAATTGAGTGTAAAATATTAATTTGAAATAGAATTACCTACGCGTTCAATTCGTGTAAGGAAATAAAAACAGGATCTTCCTTAACGATCACTTAAACTTGGCTTACAATTTGTTCTGCCAACGTAATTTGCATCAGCAATTACATTGCAAATACTAGCTTAGAATTTAAAACACCCAAAAATCCGTGATCATGTGTGTGAAGTACTTAGTTTATTTAGTTCTAGCACGATAGTTTTACGACTAATACAAATGTCAAGCATGTCAGTCAAACGCGATAATTACTTATAAACTACAACCAAATATTTACAAGAGATTTATAAACATATTGAACACTTGTCAAATACAAAAGACCTATTCAAATTGAACAATGGCTTGAATTTTTTTCATCTTCTGTTGCAGAGAGGAAAATTTTATCCACAATTATCATATTTGATAAAAGTGAACACGCCGAGGGCTGTGATGGCAGAGACGAAGAAAGCCTTCCGAAAGTTGCCGAACATAGAGTCGGCGATGGCGGCGTTAAGTAATTTGAAGGGAGTGGGCACGGCCACCGCTTCAGCAGTGCTGGCGGCGGCAAGCCCCGACATAGCTCCGTTCATGGCTGATGAATGCGTGCAGGCGATCCCCGAGATGGAAGGAAGCGATTACACTGCCAAGGAATACCTCAATTTTGTAACCCATATTAGGAAAGTCTGTGATAGGTTAAATAAGGTTGGTACTCTGAATTTTCTATACAGCATAGGTATACCTAATGTAACATACGAATCGTTTCTTTATTTGGCAAAAGGCCTAAGTGCCCTTTTGTAATGTTTTGGCAGTAGAATCTAATGGCTTTTGTTTTACACGCTACGTGATTTTTAAGCACCTACACAAAATGGCACTTTTTACAATTAACCTCGCGTATGTGGGAGTTTGAATACGTCATGTGGAACTTTAATTAAACACACATAATAATATCTAGAATTGCTTTGAATAATAACTTTGACGACAAAAACAGGAAACTAAGATACCAGCAATAACCATACTGAAATCCACGCTAATTAATCTTAACGTGATAAATAAGTTTAAATCTTTCCTCATATAAATTATTAAGTTGCAAAAATGTATGCACTTACAAAGATAGCTTAAAGAAACCTGGCCTTTAGGTACATATAGAAACGATCCGCATTTTTTGTTTAACATGTGGTAATTATTTTAGGAACAAAACGGCTGTGGCAACAAGTTTTCTCCACACATGGTAGAGCTGGCGTTATGGACGCACCACGTGATATCAGACTTGCAGCCGGAACTGCTTGGCAAGGAACCCAGGACGGTAGCGCCCGCCAACGGGGGCTCACCTCTACCCAGTGATGAGAGCAATCTTGAACCACCCTCCACCAATGGCAATGGTGAGTATTCAAACGAATTAATTAACTATTCGACTTATAACTATATGACAAATTTAACAGTTCGGGTTACGAAAAACCGGTCGAAATTATGGATTTGTTTTTTTGTTTACCTAAACATAAGTATATTAATAATTTAACAAAGTTTACGAGTATTTGTTAATAGCACACTGCTATTAGGATCATCCCACCCAGTCACAGAATTATTCGACATCTGTTTGAACTTATATATTTTTCTATACCTGTATATATTATGGTTTATGCAGTCAAAAACATTCCCTGTGGTCAACCACACTAATTTAAGAAATAATTCTGTCACGAATTACCTTGGAATTGCCCGCAAACGTAGAACGTTAAATGAAAGCAGGTTCAATAAGAAAATTCTAATTGAGTGTCTCATTTAGATTGTTAAAAGGCAAATTAACAAGTCGTTTTTAAATGTATCAACGTGATATTAAAATGTTCGGAACTGTAGTCAGACTATGAACAAACTTTCTCATTTAAATATTTACGTTTACGAATACGCAGATATTTATTGTGAAGGAAAATTAGCTTTGGTCAAGGCAAGAATCTTTTTCATTACCAATCAACCAACGCCAAATACCATTAAAAAGGTGGCCCAGTGACAAAAAAGAAAAACATTAAACTTGTTTTGTAACCCATATCATTGATTTAATTTAACTATGCTCTCTGGGCATGAATTTGACAATTTATCCATAATGCATATGTTTCGCTAAGTAGGTAAATGATTTGTGTCGTTCACCTTCTATCCATATTTTAACAACACGTGGATATTTGGCAAATATTAAACTATAAGCTTTTGTTTATTTAATCCAGTAGTTCCCTTGTCTTGTTCTTAATCGAGACGACTTGAAATGCAGCGCAGTCGCCTGCTCTCATTTCGGAGCCGTTATTTTTGATTAATCAACTACCTACGTTTTTTCGTTCGAAAATTTCGGAAGTTTCTCTTTTATTCATTACTTTTTTTCGGACAATTCATTTTGTCTCACATATATAGTAAGCCAACCTTTGATATACGCAATGATTGTAGGTATTTTATCAAATACAAAACAAGACTGTAAACGTATCTTTACAGTAAATTATAGTGTAGCCATAAAACGTGATCGCAATAAAATTGGAACTCGCATTATGTTTGAAATCCTACTAAATTCTGGCCTTATTTAGGAGCAAATATGTCAGAACTTGAGAAGAAAAACAAGCCTCTTTGTTTATAATTTATAGGGGTGTTTTATTATGGCGTTTATAAATGCGCCTCATGGTGTTCTAAACCTGATAAATGAAGACGTCTATCGTGCAAACAAAACCTGTACGAAGCAGTACATAAGGGCGTATTCACATTATGCTATATCCCGCATGTTTTAGCTAACGATGTCTATGATAACTGAATGCGGGACTAAACGACAACGAGGTATAATGATCACGTTTTATGTTATTGCCAGTTTGCTACCCACAATCCAGTGAGCAAACGAGACGAAAATATGTACTGCAGCATAATTGTGATGTTGAAGATAACTAAGCACCCTGTTAACTTACAAGTAATTGTGCCCGCACAATCGTTACGTACATAGTGTGCGATGCATTCGGCTTACTTCTTAACGACTATTTGAACGCGTTAGGCAAATGAGCCGTAATCACACGCTCGTAATTTCCGTGCGGGTAGACAGGATCATGATATCAAGAGTGGTTTCGTTGTTACAGGAAAATTAGGTGCAGACTCAGTGAATGAGGACACGACGACGTCGTGCACAGAGGACTCGATGGATGCGAAAGCTGCGTCTCCTGCGACCCCCGCCACCCCCGCGTCCCCCTCCGACAACTCCGACTCCGCCTTCAGCACGCCGCGCGCCAAACGGTAACCACTTTACACACTCTGTAATTACATTTCATTGTACCAACAACCAGCCGTTCTATCGGTTTTTATGCACACACTTATTTCACCATTTCTCCGATAACTCATATCGAATACATGTAGTAATTTGTTCCGTTTGTTTGACGCAGGCAAATGGAGGAAGCCAGCTCAGAAGAGAACTCACTGGGTGACTCATCAGACGCGTCCGCGTTACCTATCGCTAAGAAACTTCGAAAAGCTACACACTGACATCCGCGCACTCCCACCAAGCGACCCTCGTGCGCCTATAAATAGCTTTCTAGACTAAAATATTGTACCTAGGTAATTTATTTTTCAATTCCGATTAATTTTAACTTAGCGTTAAGTTTAAGTACCGGTCGATTTTGTAAGTTTTATAGGGTATCGATATTTGGAGCGTGTACCGAGTGGTCGGGCGCGTTCGAGAGTATGAGATTGTACAATATTTCGATGTGAGTGTATCTTCGGAGTGGCCCACGAGGGGGCCTAGCGTTAGGTTTCGTTTGTAATCATTTTTAACGTTCGAACGTTCGCATCCAGCGTGACATTCCAATAATTGTAAAGTTTCGGCGGCGAGGGCGCAGGGCCGTCGCCGCGGAGAGATCCGGACCAGATGCCTTGACGAGGCCGCGAGGCCGCCATTCACACCATTGCCTTATGACACAGTCTGCCCGCAGAGTTTATATGCAACAAGATAATACAAAGGTCGTGTTACCCGGGCGCCGGGCACACGGGCCCACATGTAGTTTTTATTGAACAAATATAAGATATTAATTTTATAATGTCGCATTTTTCATTTCAACCAAAAATAAACCAAACTTCCTTATTCCGAAATATTGTATTTATTCACATGTTCTTACATTATACTATTACCTTATTATCTATTATAATGAGCAATGCAAGAACGAAACAAAATTCAATATAAATTTTGTCTTCAATTTCTATTACATTGTCACTTTCAACACAACTCGAGTTGTTTTGCAACACCATAATAATACACGCGTCACAAATGGCCATTGCCACCGCAAGCGGCGGCCGGCGTTGCCGAACCACATAACATTAATCAGGCAACCACATCCGGAGTTCTATCGACTTCCATTTATTATGTTTTAGCGATAGACTCGAATGAGATTTTATTACAGGACAATCAACGACTTGTGCCGAATTTTACACTTTGGCCTGCGGTAGGTACTGGATATCGATTCAATTGTACGAACAATTGAAGATTAATGAGGTGTTTCGACGTCTTGTTGTAACTGCGGGTACAAGGTCGCGATTCTAGTGCCGGCGGCCATGCGGCCGGCGAAGTCAGGTCGTCGCGCGGGCCGGGGCGCGCCGAGTAAGGCATCGAGTACATTGCGGGGTGCCCACACGTCGCTGCCGTTGCCGGAACTGCCGTTGCCTGAACTGCCGTTACCAGCCCCTACAGGGGATAGCGGCGAGTCTGTAGTCGCGCGAATCACTGTGGCACGAGATTCGCCTGTAACAAAGGAGCTTACTGTAATGTCTACCTGATAAGACAGTACTAAATTCAGATTGGGTATTGATACATAATCCGAATTTTGGTTATAATTTCCATTTCAGGAAATTCGGGATGAGACTTCATTCAATTCATTTGACTATTAGAAGGTATTGCAACATGCGATGAATAATATTGATTACTAAACTGAGTTTTTTTAGACCCTTAAAACTCTCTAAATATTTTACATACAAAGCTACACTAACTACAAACAGCAACAGTCTACTGTATTCAAATTTAAGTCACGAATCATTATTCTGTTTTAAAACAAAAGAAATGTAAAGAAAACAAAGACATACTAACTGTTCGTAGATTGGTTAGAATATACATAGATCACCAGATTTTTATTTCGCATAGTGTTTAGAGAGATAGGTGAAATAGAAACGAGAATATCTTGAAATTTATTTTTTGGTATCATCATCACTCAAGTTACTTCTCCCGCCCAGGGTTAGGCGACAGGAAGTGTCAGATTCCTACTGACTAAAAAACACCCCGTTCCTTGTCCTTCTCCAGGCTGAGGCTGCGTTACAAAATTGTGATTGCCACGAAACCCCGACTGAATAAGACTGAGACGCTACATTAGTTGGCACAGTGATTGTGTAGTCGACTGCTATCCAGCTCCGATTTAAACAAATTGTTGTCTTTCTTCTGGGCGTGGTTAGTAATAATAATTTTTGTAGCTAATAAGCCTGACAGTGGTGATAGACCGACTGGCTCGTCGTACGATGATAATCGATGTTGCCGTTCCTCATGACGAGAACCTCGTGAGAGCTGAGAAAGATAAACAATTAAAATATCTTGACTTGGCTTACGAGGTTCTTTACATGTGGAGTGTGAACTCGGCTATCATTGACCCGATAGTTGTGTCGGCAAATGGATTAGTCCCCAAAAGATCGAGCTTGACGTAAGGTGGTGGTCGATCAGGCTGACGTGGCCTCATTCATTCAGAAGACAGTCCTCCTTGAAACGGCAAGTATTTTGAGGGGGTTTCTGTCTCTGGAGCCCTAACTACCGGTAGCTTGGACCTTGCTCCAGCTACCGGCTGGCTCCTATTCTTATATTTTTAAATATTATACTATTGGATTTTTTGTAAACACACCCATGATACAGGACAATATAATAATGCGATGCAATGTTAAGAGAATAAAGTAAGTATACCTATAGTATCGTGGCGATAATGAGTGTACAAAATTGAAACCATTGATGTGTTACAGCTTACAATCGACAGTTCGGCACTGTTGACCTTTTCATACTAATTAGTGCGACGTTGAAACCGTAGTTACGTATTAAAATGTCGCCCTTGATCACTTTTACTGCATTGTGTTTGTACAATAACATTTTTTTATAGTATAGCCCATGGACACCCGCAACACCAAACGAGTAACGAGTGCCTTGCCAGTCTATTAGGATAAGGGTTTCGGATATTTAAGGAATGTGAAGAGATGAGGGAGGGCGACGGATTGGGCCTCCAGTAACATAACTCAATCAGCGACACACAACGTAGTGGTTGTTTCACGCCAGTTTTCTGCGAGGCCGTAGTATCACTTCAGTTAAACCGACCCCTTCGTGCCGAAGCTTGGCTCTTCAGGCAATTCAAGAGAATATTTAAATCTTACATAAATAAATTGGTACTATTGATATATTTAGGAGGTCGTATCTACTTCGTGTAATACTTTCTCTTTGGGTTTTTTCCATGCTAAGTGGGTCATAAAGGTAGGTCTTTAATGGTTAGGCTCGTCACTGGCCAGTTTATGCTTTCGGCTAATGGGTATTCTACTTTTTATATTCCTCGCGATTTTGCTTTGTTAAAAAAAGCTGGGATTTAACAACTGATACTTAAAAAATAAGGACTTAGGTATCTAGGTACTGAAAGTTGAACAGAACATGTTTAACTTTCAATACCTAGATGACCCAGTTTTGGTCGGTATTATTCTTTTTGACATTTTCTAGAAATTAATTCTAGCTAGATCGGTTTATGGGCCCCGAACATCGCTAAAGCCGTTTCGGAGCTTCAGATTGTACCTATATACATATGTATATTTATATACTATAATAATTGCCCGTTCAAAGATACAAGTTATAGCTTCAGAGAAAATTGGATGAGGCGAAAGATTATTATTTGAAATGAGTGTTGAAAGTTTGAAATTTTCAGTGTTCAAGTTAAGTACGTGTTATTAAGAGACCTGAATTTGGCAACAATGAAACCTTAACCACTGATTTTAAATGTAAAAAACCCCTTCATAACACTTCAAGAAGACAAGGAATTTGCAGAAGAACCAGTATTACCGTGGCCCTTGCGCACAATCGCACATACGAGACAGTGATTAGTCTGATAATTCCAATCGTCCCAGGATTCATACAGAGACAGACCGGAACACGAAGAACTGGAATTAGACCAGGAGAGTAGGCCTACGCAAATGTGTGGCCGCGAAGGAATCGCGGAAGAGACATCGGGGTAGCTGTAGACAGTTTTTTTAATGTAATAGGTCGGCAAACGAGCTGACTGATTACCTGATGGTGAGCAATCAGCGCCGCCAACGGACACCCACAATAGAGCAGTTACGAGTGCGTTGCCGACCTTTTGGGGATTAGGGATTTGGGGGTGGAGATTGGGGGAGAGGGAGGATTGGGGCTCTGGCAACCTCACTTACACGACGAAACACAACGCTGTGGTGTTTATGAGATGGGACAGTAAACAAGCATTTGGATCACCCTATGGTAATTAATCGGACATTGCGCCAATCAAAGACAACGCAGAGATGCTAGTACCTCGGCGTCCTCTTGAGGGTTAGCTATTCAACGATTCGGAATGGGAGGTAAGGAATGAGTGGAACTATGTTAACCTCACTAACAAAGCGAACGTTGTAATTGTTTCGCGCCGGTTTACTTATGTCTGTTTAACGGCCTTTGGTACCAGTTCGTTCGCTTCATAAAAATTTCATATTTTTAGTACTAACTATCATGAGACATACTAAATTTATTGAAAACTAGCTACTCCCACGAGGTTTCACCCGGTGCTCAGCTCCATTTGATCGTAGCGTGATGTTTTATAGCCTATAGCACTCAGGAACATTGTAGCTATCTATGAGTGAAAGAATTTTGGAAATCCGACCAGCGGTTCCAAAGGTTAAATCCCCTACATACAAACTTACAAACTTACAAATTTTACCTACCTATTTATAATATTTGTACAGATTGACTTATTCAAGTGAAATCACTGAGAAAAGCTCTACAAGTTTCAAGTCACAACGGGGCTCTTATTCATGAGCAGCGTGCATGTCGCGCTAACGTCACGCAGTCAACCGGCGTTGTTTCTCGGTGATTTCACGTGTTGAAGTCGTTATTTAAGTCAAGTGTAAATAGTATAGGAGGTAAGTGCGTACTGTCGGACGTGTGGTTGTGGGCGCGACAGTCGAGTAGGACGCGCAGCAGCGCGCGGTGCTGGGGGGCGGCGGCGTGCGCCCGCACCAGCGCCTCCAGCTCGCCCCATACCTGCCGCCATTGCTCCTCGCGACGACCCACTGACTTCCCTCTGTGAACACAATCATTTACGACCTTAATAAATAAATAATAATCGGTTTAAATCTCTGTGGATTAAGATCGGTTAGTTGTTTGAAAATTCCGTACCTAACAGCATCGAACCTGATATTGGAATGATTATCGGCTATCAGTTTCAGTCGTTAATTAATAATAGACTGTAAAGTGCTGCCAGAATTCAGTCGTTGGAAAAAATACATTGATGGTGAAGAGGAAGTATTGATAAAATATAAGCGACATTTTGGGCAAAAAATTTCTGCAGTTACGAATTTTTTGGCGCTTGTATCCTATCAAATATAATGTTTTTCTTATTACTTTTCGTACCCGACAAAAATGCAGGCTTTTTCTTGAGGGGATAATCATAAAATGACGTCAGAAAATTATCGTTTTTGACATTTTGATAAAAGTATTGTATTTGACTACAGTCCTATATAGAAAAAAAATTACAGTTACATAGTTTGCCTTATTACAAAACGTTGTTTTTTTTTTAGTCTACGTCTAAACCATTGAGATAGTTTTTGTATTTAAATTGAACGAAGGTGAGAATAAGATTCAAAATACAACTGACTCAATGATGTATATCCTAGGCTAAAAATAAATGTTGATTTGCAGTAAATAGTGAGTTTAGGGCAAAACATTATGTACCTAATGTCGTGGTACATACCTTATATTAGATGGAAGTTGTGCTGTGGGGAACTCATGCCGCGACTCCATGGCCAATAAGGAGAGGAGTACATTACGACACGTCTCCACTTCTTCGTCAGTCAACGTTTCTTGTACTACTAGTCGCGTCAGTGGTTCCAATACCTGATAAGCATAAAGTAATACATAATTATAAGTCCCTGATAAACTAATTTATACTAATACTCATTATCATAACCCACTGTTGAGGAAAGGCTTCTTCTCATCCGGAGAAGGTTTGAGCATTAATCACCATCTTTTCTCAAGGCTGATTGGCGATTTCAAACTTATATAGAAATCATAAGTCTAGTTTACCTCACGATTTTTTCTGGTATCTAAATAATGATAGAAAGTATATATAACTCAGAAAAGTCATACTGGTACTTGTCAGGCTTCGAACCTGTTGTCGCACCCTCATGCATGAGAAACAGGTGCTTAAACCTCTGGGCCACCACGACTATGTAATACTAAAATTATAATGAGTTAAAATTTGTAAGTTTTTATGTAAGGGGTAATCTTTTGAACCGCTGGTCCGATTTCAAATCTTTTACTGATAGACACAATGCTACAATGTTCTTGAGTGCTATATAAATTATAGTTACTTGATTTGTATCTTTTAGTCGAGCTATCGTTTGAGTCCTAGGATAAATTACTTGTACATGCGTGCGCAGCTTCGGCCGAAAGTTAATGTGGCATAAAGTTCATACCATTTATATTCTATATTCAAATTTATTTGGTACACCTACATAATGGCTATAGGTACATTGAAAAGACCCTTAAACTCAGAATCGAGCCGAGAACCGCAGAGTCACACAGAGAGCGAAAGATTTATGCCAGGAGTTTCTTTGAGCGACAAAATAGTAATTGTGAAAATTTATAAACTGAAGTGGCAGTAGTCAGGCCATATTACTCGAAGGATTGACATTCGATAGGTCTTCTTTTTCTTCCGTAGATCTTGTCAAAGTTGCTAAGGCTTTTGGAAGATTCTAGTGTTATTTACGTATTCTTTTGTCAAAGTTTTGGCTTTTTGAAGATTCTAGTGTTATTTTCGTAGGTATTCTTTTGTTTTGTTTTTTGACGAAAGTTGAAGTTTTGGCTTTTGGAAAAGTTTTGGCTTTATGAATATTATAGTGTTATTCATGTGTTCTTTTGTCAAGGTTTTGTATTTTTGAAGATTCTAGTTTCATTTAGGTATTCCTTTTTTAATAAGCCTGTGTATATCTTCCTTCTTATTATATTTAATGTTATTATGCACGTAATAAACTTACCGATCCTAAATTAAATATGAGAGTAGAAGATATAGTAAGCGGCCAGTATGTTGTATGTCGCTGTAGCCGCGCTCTTGCCCGCCCGTTAGCCCCGGCACCGCGAAGGGGATACAGTCTGTTCTGTTGCATTAGAGCACCAAACTCTTTGATTCTGTATGATTTGTTACAGTTCAAAATATTAATACACAACAGTTACGAAAAACAGTCAATTCAAAATGATTAATTTATACTTAATATTATAAAGCTGTTTGTTTGTTTGAACGAGCTAATGTGTGAAACCGCAAGAAAGTAGCTAGTACGTTGATAAAGAAGATGAATGAAGACGATTTATGGTAACATTGTATGGTACATTTCAATAATGAAACGTTTCTTGATTGATTTTTATATTGCCCGAAAATACCATTTTAACACAAGTATGATTTTTCAGGTTCCATTTTCGGATACTTATAATGAATTTTCAGATATTAAGATAGCAAAACAAAACAACAACAAATAATCATCAGAACTTCTGTTCAAGTGACTTGTATTCATATTTCAGCGACGTATTTTTACGCCGGTTTTCTATATGTTCATAGTAGCTACATGTCTCTGGTCAAGATCTTCTGCCAGGTCTTTTTTTTTGTTAGGGGTAAATTATCCAATGACTTCTCCCTCCCAGAGAGTTTCTTACTGACTAAAAACACTACCGTTCCTTCTCCTGCTCTGGGCAAAGGTCTTAAAATTATACCTGTAATCAGTGACTCGTCCCCCAGCTCCTTCAGATAACGCAGGCGGGTCGTCGTAAGGCGTGCGTCCGCCTAGAGCTCCTATCCACAGCTCACCACCTTGCGCTGCTAGCACGTGTGACGCTGATCTACCTCCGCCTTTCCTGTACAACAATGTTGACCATTTCATAAACACTGTTGTTTCCTAAGTTAAGGAACGGATAGGTCGGCTTGACCGGATTGATACCACGGCCTCACAGAAAACTGGCGTAAAACAACCACAGCGTTGTGTTTCGCCGTGTGAGTGCGGTTACTGGAGGCCCCATTGTTCCCCTCCCCCAATCCCAAAATCTCGAAATCCCTAATCCAAAAAAGGTCGGCAACGCTCTCTTAACTACTCTGTTGTCGGCGCTGATTGCTTACCATCAGGTAACGCCTCAACTCGTTTGCCGATCCTATCACGTAAAAAAATCATCATCAGTCAGAATAGAACGAATACTAGTTAAAAGTCCTAGGTTTAGTTACTGTAGTTTGGGCATCATAGGTCATCATCCAGTAATTTCACATGTCACATGGCGATACTTAACGTTAGCTTTGTGTCACGTACATATTCTGTAAGGAAATAGTATCACCCCGTGGTATCGTTTGCGCCAAAGCATGACACTAACACACCACATAGAATAAATCTATATCTATATATATACTAATATTATAAATGCGAAAGTAACTCTGTCTGAGTTACTTTCGCATTTATAATATTAGTGGTAGGTAATAGTGTACCTAAATGTAAATATTAGTGGTAGCCTGTCTTGTCTTCACGCAAAAACTACTGAACCGATTTCTGTGAAATGTGGTACAGACATAGTTTGGAACTCAAGAAAGGACATCGGATAGTTTTTATACCAAAAATCTGCTGGAAGTCACTGTTCCACGAGAACGGAGTCGCGGGCAAAAGCTAGTATACATAAAAATCAGCCTTTTTCGTTGTATTATTATAATCAACTCAACATCGCCTTTACCGATTTGGCTAATATAAAAAAAAACTTGAGCAAGTGTAAAATTGACATCCACACGGGTGGAGCTGCGAGCGACCGCTAGTTAGGAATAAATTTTTGGTATCTATAGCGTGAATTACATCTAAGTTTATTACTTCGGAACTTCGAGAGTGACGGATCTGCCGTTGAGTAGGAAGTTGACGAGGCAGGCGGAGGGTCGGGACGCCACGTCCGCGGGAGTGACGCGCCACAGTGCGCCACAGCACCCTGACGCGCCCCCCTCGGCGCCACGGGGCGTCCACCACCGGAGCACCACCTACAAACAATCATATTCCAATTACAAGTGTGAATACGGTACGGGTTCCTTTACATTCCAAGTCCAAAAACATTGAATCTATTAAACTTTTTTTTATGTAATGGGTCGGCAAATCCTCGTAAACGTGCACTATGCAGGTTCCTGTACATTTCAAGTCCAAAAACATGGTCTCTACTGATCTGAAATGTTTTTTTTATGTATTAGCTCGGCAAACGAGCAGGCAGATTACCTGGTGGCAAGCAATCAACACCGCCATTGGACACTCGGAACAACAGAGGAGTTACGAGAGCGTTGCCGACCTTTTGGGCTTTAGGGATTTGAAGCCACACATAGTGTTGTTTTTTATTATTTTGTTTACTTCCGTATAATTTAATGGGAGATGTAGACACACTTACCGATTCCAAAGCTTCAGCAGCAGTTTGTGACGCTCGCAGCCCCGCGTGAGCATCTGCCGCGTGAATTATTTCCACGTCGTAGTTCGCACTAGAACTGGCATTTTGTTCTTCCTATAGGATAAGTAAAACATATCAAATAAGGGATATATTTAGATTGTTATTTAGTTGTTAAATTTTATTTTACGGTTTCAACTTTTTTAGAAAAGGTAATGTTTCATCCATACCATTATCGATAACAAAACAAAATAGTATCGATACAATTTAAGGGCGCCAGGGTGCCTAGTGGGATTTTTTTATTGGTTTAAGATTTCTGATTGGTTGATTAACTTAGAGTAGAACCAATCAGAACCCTGAACGTCATAATTGTGTTGATATGTGAAACACGCACTAGGCACTCTGAAGTTCAACAAGAAAAAAAAAATGGTAAGTGGTCATTGTTACAACAAAAGAATATTTTTTTTAAACTTACCTTCATAGGGATACCAGTTACAGTGGTGGTAGCTAATTTGTAATGTGGCAACACCAATCGACCAAGCAGATTGGCTAATGCACTCGCCCGTGAGACAATTACTTCCACACCGATTTGTCCACCAGCTATCTGTAAGTATTGAATAAAGTTATTTATATAACTAGGTACATATAAGATTTATTTTACAGGTCATACACACAACATCTCAATTCATCATAGCTTGTTTCCATCCACAAAAGTATAAACATATGTATTTAAAAAAAAAAAAAAAATTAATGGAGTACAGAGAGAGAGAGAGATACAGTTATGTTTAATGGAGCTCTAACTCTGTGACTTTCGACCCGGAACACATAGACATCAGATAAAAGCTTTTTTCTAAAAAAGTTTTTAATATAGGTAAACTTCATTTTTCTGTGTTCAATAATGTCTGAATTTACCGTTTTAAATAAATAGTTTTCTATAAAGGCATTTTGTTCAATAGCTCGCCAATATAGAACTGTCAGACTTCATGCTGAACTATGTTAAGATCTCAAGTAAGAATGTATTTCACTGCACAGTTGGCGCAGTGACTAAATGGCTAAAGCAAGACTTCTTATGGTAGCAGGAGTTCAGAAAATTCTATAATGAGGTATAGTATATACAGATTGTATCATGATGTTTGTTGCCTATAGCTTTCCTTGATAAGTGGGTTGATAAACACGAAACAATTGTTTAATTCAAACCAGTAATTCTAGAGGTTAGTGTGTTCAAACGAACAAACTCTATAGCTTTATAATATTAGTATACCTATAGATAAATCCTTACCTCTGCTAAAGGTTGATTGGTAACTTCTGTTTCTGCATTCTCTGGTGTGACATTTATTATAACTATATGACAGTAATGTATTACTAAGGGCCTGAAACATACATATAAACATAAATGTAATAAAAACATCAAATTGCATGCTTGTTTTTAAAAGCCCGCAACATATACATATCATTTTTTCATTAGATAAATAAATGGCATTATAACCAGCCTTGCTGGATGTCTCTCCCTTATATATTTTTTTAGTTTATTGTATTCATACATATTCTTACTGCCTAGACGGTCTCATGATTCATGAGACTGTCTGGAGAAAGACAGATAGACCGTGGAGTCTTCAGATCAGTCAGATTTCTAGTTTTTTAGTCATCAGGCACAAAAAAATAATTACTCACTGAGGTGTTGTGTTCGCAGAATCAGAAGTAGTGGGCGGCTGGACCATAGATGCCTTTTTGTTTATTTGGACAATTGTATTGTGAGCGATATCCTTTAAGTTCTTAATAGAATCATTGTCTCTGGCACTTGTTATGCAAATTACACGCCCACTGAAAAAATTATAAAAAAAAATTTGAAATTAAATAAGTAAATATGTTGATAAAAATAGGTATAAGGGACCCTTAAGAGGAATAAATTACATCATTAATAATTTTTCAACCATTCTATTTTTAACCCATAGACATTCTGATTAGATTCATGACAACTTGTAAAGATTCAATACTATTTTCGAATAGCCAGCTCTCAATGTGTGAATGTGTTGTGACATGCCTTTGCATCAAATATGTGTTGAAGAGCCAAAATAATTTGTTTTTGACTAGTAAGTCTGATGTGATTTTAATAAGAACCTAGATCAGTTTTAGGAGTCCATCTTACAGTGTTTGTTTCACACAATCTTACAAGTACAATTCATAGAAACACTTATTATCTATGGCTTAATAGAATCTAACTAATATAAGGCAACCAGTCATTAAAAAAAAAGTATGTAAAAGTATTACATACCGATTCTGAAAATGTCTTTCAGTAGGCCTATTGGCCTGCTCAGGTGATGGTTCTGCTAAAGCTTCTATGGCAGCCACCAGCCCTTCTACATCACCACCAGCACCACGTCTTACTGGCCCCACTAGACAGAGTCCATTGAGGAGCTACAACAAATGAACATAAGTCAACTTATCATGTAAGTTTATTCCATCTGAGGTTTAAATTCTATTTTTTTTTTTTTGGAAGCTCAAACACTAATAGAAATTATGGAAAACGAAAACAAATAAAACATATATCGCTGATGACAAGCTTCCACACTTTGAGTAATACATATATAATATTAAATATAAATACAATATTGGTCCTAAAACTTTAATTCCTTACATACCAGTATTCCTGAAATTCGAACTATCAAACCTAGGTAAATATTAGTACTGAGTGTATATGAGATATATACATATTTATTAACTTACATGTGTCAAATTTTGCTGTGAAGCAGCCCATGTATTTAACATATGGGCTGTGTTGTCACTCACGACAAAACGCACCTGAAAACATCAAGCAGTTTACTAAGTAAGTTCTAAGTAGAACTGTAGGGATCGGTCTGCAGAATACTGTCTTATATATAGCATAAAATGTATCATTACTTAGTATCACTGATGTGTTAGTTAACTTTAACACCTCTCATTATCAAGCAACAGGTGGTGCTTACCAGTTTGCCTTCTGGAAATAAATCCCACACTATCCTGCAGTACTCCACCGCCGCTTCCACACTGCAGGTCCATAATGACTTACAGATCGGTGGGACAGGCAAATAACCCCTATTTTTCGGCACATCAAAATCTATCGGATTATCTGATGATATACCGAAATACGGTGTGTGGTCTAGCACAAATATCGTCTTGTGGTTAATGGGAAACATATTTACTGTATATTGCTTTTAAGGACTTATCATTATTCAGTTATAAACAATTTTTTAATGAAAAAAGCGAATTTATTTACAACTATCAACAGCAAACCGAATCCGGAAACGTATTAGTTTTTGTGTCACTGTCAGTGTGACTGACAGTCGATTACAAAAGTGTCAAAATGTTTTTTCAACCAATCAAAACAAACGCTGAGTAGGATTGCCAAATTTAAAAAAAATCTATACTTCCCAAATACAGTTCACAAAAGATTTTCTTAAGTTTTTATTTTGTACAAGTCAGTTAAATAATGCAGAATGTTTTTAGTGTTTAAATTGAAGCAAATGATTCGAATTTTAATAATGAAAAATTTTTTTCTTATTTATTTTGTCATAGCAGCATTTATCATTCACAGATGATAAAACGATGCAAACCGAAAAACCGATAATGTTAAAATTTACGATATTAAATACATCAAGATTAACCGAATTTAAGTTCTGCATTATTCCTGTTATTATAAAAAAAACAAATCAACAACATCACAACAACATCTTAGAAAAATCCAAGTTGGTGTTTAAGAAATATTTCATATTAAAAGTAAGTGCACTAAACAGTTAGCGGACCTTTAAAATTAAATACTTATTTATTACAATTTTTATTTAATTACACATAAATAATAAAAATGAAAATTTGTGACATTTGAATTGAAAGTATTTCGGATATTAACCGAAATTTACAATGCGCACATCACTATGGTGAATGTGAGAGAATGATAAAATGGTGCATTCGTCGATCAAACCGGGCCACACATCCGAAGCCAGAAATTAAATTAACATCCACCATTTTGTTTATTTTCGCGAAAATAAGTCTTTTCCCGGATACGCTGTAGAATATTCCTATTTTACCGCTAGACAACAGAGTGATCTATTACTTCTGGCAATGATTATAAGATTAGGAATGTGCTATTAGCGTTCCTATCTATTATCGAGCCCTTGTGTTGAAATTTGCAGACATCGGCCGCGCCGCTAGTAAACATATTTGAAAATTAACAGCATTACGTGGAAGAAAAATAAAAACCCACCTACTCAGGGTACCAGAGTTGATGAGAAAAGTTCGGATAATTACTAAGTTTAAAGGGAGTAATCCCCTAGCGTTAGAGGTACGTGAAGTGCAGTAATCAGAGTTCGGACGTCATAAGTGCGAATAAGCTGTGAGCGTACAGTCTATTCTTATGGTGGAATATTTGTTCAGGAAATAACCAAGAGTAGTGGGCGAGAGTCCCCCGTGGCGCGCCCGGCTAACATGAACCACACGCCTGCACCGGACAGGCAGCACCAGCACGACACCAATGTTAATCAGGTGGAGGAGATGGAGACTCAAGATGGTTAGTGATGTCACAATATTTACATTGCCTCTGTTTTTCTCTCATACCATGTAGGTAGAATCTTAATACACTCCAAATTCCAAAACTTGTCATTTCTAGTTTAGAATTGCTTAGTACGCGGATTTACGAGTGTTATTGAACTTATTTGTTAAGCAGATTACCCCACATAACCTCAAAATGTATTCAGTAAATTGACAAGGTATTAATCTATGTACAGTGACAATTGATGAATAGTATTGCAAAGCTAAGATTAAAATGTGTATTCATGTGTTTACATATTTGATTTGGTGTCTGGCTTTCTTTGTTTCAAAAGTGCAAGTCGCTGTCTGACTGTGAAACAAAAATATCTAATTATAGAATATCTTTGTCTAGATGAGTGTTTGATATGTTCAGCATTATTGAATTTGGTTGAAATTTAATTTAATTAGTGACGCTGTTTACACACTTTCTTCAGAAACATAATTATTTTTGGAGATAGTTTTAGTAGGGTGTATTTATACTTGAAGGACTAGTAACCTCAGAGTGTTTAAATGTCATTGTGATCTTTACATGTATGAATGAATGTGCAGTACTGCCAACTGGTAAGGATCAATGGAAAACATAAAAATAAACAAAGGTGTCATGTCAAAAAGTTGTCATGATACACTATAAGAATTTATTGATTTATCTTTTATCATTGTGTAGTTGAGATAAGCACAAATATTTTAGTGTGTTAATTCTAAGTGATTGTTCAGTTTAGATGTTTGTCATGTTCATGTTTTAACTTTGAACTTGAAACAAGTTCCTTACTTTGGTTACTTAATGATAACATAAGCATGAATGGATGATAAGTTCTAGCAAGTAAAAAAAAAATGATAAGAACTTACTGATAGTCTAACTATTATCAAAGTGACTCAAAACATGTGATGTGTGTAGTTTCTAAACTTACCTATTTTACTCAATGTTATTTGAGTAAAAGGATTTTTTTATTCCTTATATTTTTAAAGTTAGTAGTGAAGAAAATTTGTGGTTCTGTTTTGTGGTGAAGTTATTTGAAAGAGGTGGCACATATAAATCCTGGTTGCACAAAATTCATTTTTCCTCTAAATAATTTGTCAAGATTGACAGTGTAGAAATGTCAAAATTCATATCTGTAAAACAATGGACAGATTTGTTTCTCCTGCTTAGTGGCTGTATTCTATTTTAATTGTTAAGTTTACTTTAGTGTGCTGTACATCCAAATCAAATAGAGGTACTACTTTGTAAACTCCTGTATTCTATAGATTTTGAAGTTTTGAAACTATATCATAATACATTGTTCAAGTGAAAAACTGTTAAGTTCTCATGCAAAACATCTGTTTTTTGTTTACATGTTAAAGTTGTTGTAAACTCATTAATAGGAATATTCTTAGAAATGGTTCTTCAATGTCATTCACCTATGAAATTGATATCTTGTGGATAGATTACATGATTATGTATCTTTTTTCAATGCCATATGTTTGAAAGAAACAGTAATATATTGTTGTCTTGTTTTTTTGCAGTGGAAACTGTAGATGCTGTCACTGACAAGACCTGGGACGACGAACTTATGAAAGGTCCTAACGGTGAGGTAGTCATGGGTGAGGTTATGAAGAATCAGGAGACCACATCTTCAGATATGCCGGTGAGAATTTCATGATGTCTTTTACGAGTCTCATTGTCAAGACTAAGCAATATGTCCCAAGAACTACTTAGTATTTCACAATTTTCAATCACCATCCTCTTACTAAGTCAGATTTTTAATCAGAATCAATTAGAATTTGTCAAAATACATTCTATTCTGACAAGTTTTTCTCTCTCTAAGAAGAACTCAAATATTGGAAAGAGAACTACAAGTTTATTAGACTCATTTCAATGTTTATTTACAAACATTCCAAATTCATGTGGTGGACATGAATAGATTGTAAAGATACAATTGCTAGTGGCTATTTTCCTCCTTGAAAAGCCAATGTCTGTGTAAAAGAGATAGAAGCACATTTGAATCTCAAAGTAAGGTCTGATAAACAGATACTGGGTTCTAAATTATCAGATAATACCAGTATCACGTTTTCGCGTGTCTATAAAAGTAATGTGCGAACATTTGCAAGTCTTGGTATCATATCCTAAGGCTCTGAATAATATAGTGGTTTTACATTGAATGAACATGTCTGTCTTGTGTCGCCCACGTCGTTTGGTATGATCCATTTGAAAGATACTATCGCATATTCGCTTCGTAATGGCCATTCTATACCCTGATATATCTATCTTCATGTCTTTTTACCACAGTCCTTAATATCTATCATAGGGATATTCACGACCAAAGAACGTAATGGTAGGGAAAGTGTTTTTGTAATTATTGCTTACGAATGTTGAGAGTAGTATTATGATGTTTGTATCCACAGCTGGCTTGTCTCGATACCGAGATGGAAGATGACGAGGCGCGGTCAGAAACGACATTCCGCTTCACGGTACAGAACTTCAGGAACTTAAAAGATTCCGTACTGTCCCCGGCGTGCTACGTCCGGAACTTACCGTGGAAGATCATGGTAATGCCTAGACAAGCGCCGTCACCCGACCGACAACAGCAGAAGTCGCTAGGATTCTTCCTTCAGTGTAATGGGGAGAGTGAGTCTTCGAGTTGGTCATGCTATGCTATGGCAGAGTTAAGACTCATCTCCCACAAGCCAGATACTGAACCCTTCTTTAGGAAGATTCAACATTTGTTTTATAGGTTTGTTGGTTTATTTTTGCTAGATTAAATTGAGGGAGATGTGTTGCGCTAAATCTTTGATTAGAGTTGATTAAAAAACAAAAACCAGCATAGTATGTGATGTTTAATTTTCTTAGAATTAGCACAACATGTTTTTGCTAAGCAAATGATGTTTTTAGTCAATTACAATCCTCGAATGTATCTAATACATTTCATTTTATAATCTTCAGTAAAGAGAACGATTGGGGTTTCTCCCACTTCATGGCATGGAACGACGTGTTGGATCCCGAGAAGGGTTACATAAAGGACGACGCAATCACGTTGGAAGTGCACGTGACCGCCGAAGCACCTCACGGTGTCTCTTGGGATTCGAAGAAACATACCGGCTATGTCGGTGAGTATTGTGGAGGCAATACACTTGTGTGACGTCATAAACTTACATGCTTTGAGGGTGACTACGTAAGCTTATACTAAAGGAACAACATACCACTTCTATTTCAGTGCTAAATTAGCCTGATTTTGCATATTTCGTGTATTCGTATTGTAGAAGTAAATCGATCAAACTGATTTTGCATGCAAAAATTCCACTACATTCAAATTGAAATGTTGGCGCCGTCGCTAAAAAGATTCATGTTTATTCTAGGACTCAAGAACCAAGGCGCGACGTGCTACATGAATTCGTTGTTACAAACTTTGTATTTTACAAATCAACTACGAAAGGCTGTTTACAAGATGCCCACAGAATCTGACGATAGTACCAGGTAAATGTTGTTTTTGTGTGCCGTCCTGTCTACTCTAGTATAGATAGATATAATCGTCTGACTAATTTATGTTGAAGGTCGTTCTAATACCTGGAAATCCGTTTATATCTGTTTGAAAGTCGGCAAAGCTAATACGATAATAATAGAAATGTATCTACTTATATTTTGTTTTATATAGGTCTGTGGCACTGGCACTGCAAAGAGTTTTCTACGAGCTTCAGTTTTCTGATAAGCCAGTTGGCACGAAGAAGCTTACAAAGAGTTTTGGGTGGGAGACACTCGACTCTTTTATGCAGCATGATGTGCAGGAGTTTCTTAGGGTGAGTGACCTTGTGTCTGGATATTTCGTATATTTTGCTTTTCACAATCTAATGGAAGACAGTCTGCAAGACTGATACTTTAATTGTTATTTATAATACAAAATTCATCACATATCAATAAAAAGTGATAGATTCATAGCCGTTATTCTGTTACTTACTGCATAAGAAGTTTTTTATTTTGAAAATAACAAAACTTTATTTCATTTCAGGTATTGTTAGATAAATTGGAAAGTAAAATGAAGGGTACATGTGTGGAAGGAACAGTCCCTCGTCTGTTCGAGGGGAAAATGACGTCGTACATCAAGTGTAAGAATGTTAACGTATCCAGCACACGTGTCGAGACATTTTACGATATACAACTTAATATTAAAGGAAAAAAGAACAGTAAGTAATAAGTATTTTACTAAACTAATATCATTATTATAATCATCAAATCAACCATAAAAGATTTACTGCCTATGTTCCCATTTCACCTGGGCCGTCTTAATGACTTACAGATGAAATTGGTTCGAAGGGACGGGAGCTAGATTTGTGAATATATTTCCAAAAATATCTCAAATGCATCAGCTATGATGAACTTATGCCATGTGACATTTTGTACCAGTGGATGATACTAGGAATTATTTTGTGGCAATCTAATTCTCGGTAGCTGTTTCCCCAGTCCAATGTGTGAACTAGGCATTAAGTTAAGCACAGTACAGTACAAGCGCTAATCAATTGATATTCCTTTATTCCAGTTGATGAATCATTCAAAGACTACATCAGTACGGAGACTCTTGATGGTGAGAATAAATACGACGCCGGTGAACATGGTCTCCAAGAGGCAGAGAAAGGAGTGATCTTTGCGTCATTCCCTCCCGTACTCCACTTACACCTCATGAGGTTCCAGTACGATCCCATTACGGATAGTTCAGTCAAGTTTAATGATAGGTAAGTTTGTGAGTGAAAATACTATTGAAGGTTAAATAAGTATTTAACATTCTAGTAAGATTCTGATTTAGATTCTATTAAGATTTTGAAGATGATTGTCAGATTGGCTTTTCCTTTGATTTAATATTTGCTCCAGAAAGTTATTAATTTTCTGAAGCATAGGGTTGGTTCCATAACCAAAAGTAATTAGCCATTCTAATTTTTGGTCTCAATAAAACCTTTCAATCTGAATGTGGACAGGAAGGTAATATTATCTGAGTGTATGGTATATACATAGAATCATATGATGCTTCTTTTCTTTAGGTTTGAGTTCTATGAACATATCAACTTAGATGCATACCTACAAGAGAAACCCGAGACACCAGCCGACTACACACTACATGCTGTCCTGGTCCACTCAGGAGACAACCACGGTGGACACTATGTAGTCTTCATCAACCCCAAGGGAGATGGAAAAGTAAGAAATTAATGAAATGGCCAACATATTTACCATTAATAACATAAAAAAACAGTTTTCTTTATGAGATTGCATAATAAAAGGGTTTCCTTTATGATCCACAAAGCGTCTATCTTTAGCATATACTATCTGTTCTCCATCATCAGCCAATCTAACTTCGTTGCTTGCAAAAGTAGTACAAGAGTCTACTAAGCAAAAGCAGGACTTCCCATTAATCGATTTTCAAAGAAAAAAATCTAAATCTAAACTGGTCCAAGTTGTGCCAATTTGGACTAAGTGTCCCAATAATTTTCGTCTGAAATGTCAGTTGCCCACAAAATCTAATTTTGTGTTTGTTTTTGGTTAATTTAAAATGCAACAAAATAATTTGATCGAGTTTAACTTAACATGAATGAATCACTTTCAATAATCTTATAACTATGGAAATAAAATTTATTTTATCTAACAAATGTTCATAAAGCAATCTTTAAAAAATATGTTTTTGTGTTTACCAGTGGTGCAAGTTCGACGATGACGTAGTATCACGTTGTACGAAGCAAGAAGCCATAGAGTACAATTACGGCGGACACGACGAAGATATGACGATGACTGTCCGTCACTGCACCAATGCTTACATGTTGGTTTATATAAGGTAAGGAAATAGCTACAAACTATTCTATATGTATAAAAGGTAACCTTAAGCTTTTCACATAAGCTACACTTTTGATAAACATATAACTTGTATGAGTCTTTTCGAATTGATCATGATTTATCTTTTTAGGGACTCACAGTTGAAGACTGTCTTGCAAGAGGTAACTCAGGCGGATATTCCTACAGAGTTGAGTGAAAGGCTAGCTGAAGAAAAGAGAATCGAAACAGTAAGTTGAATGATGAGTTCCATAGTTTTCAATCTTAGCAAACTAAGAACAGAATGCTTAGTCTACTTCTTTTCGGAAAGAAATGGAAATGGCTAGTCGTGGTATGAATAGTAACTTATATTTTATTTTTATTTTTAATTCCTAAATTCCATTAGAATTTGAATGTTACAAACTGTTTGAGGCATCTGAACTAGTTTGTGTTTGTCTAAAAAACGTAATACATTAATCAAATTTATTTCAACAGATCCGTCGCAAGGAGCGCAATGAAGCTCACCTGTACATGAATGTGAACGTAGTGTTAGAGGAGGCGTTCGACGGCCACCAGGGTAACGACCTGTACGACCCGGAGCGTGCACACTACCGCGTGTTCCGTGTCAGGAAGCAGGCCACCGTCGCAGAACTCATGGAGATGTTAGCTGAGAACTTCAAGTACCCACTCAAGCAGCTTAGGCCGTGGCCGTTCAGTGCGCGTTCTAATCAGGTAAAAGCTGTACAACTATTATGTAGAAAGAGAAAAGATTTTGTCTTCTTTTCACTACATCAGTTCAGATTTAAGCATCAATTTGTCAAGCTATTCCAATATACTTTGATATACAAGTTTAGTAATAAACTCTTGCTATGTCAGTGCATCCAGATCTACGCAAGCATTTTTTAATGAATGCGTTACCGCGTTTCTTGATGTGAGTACGCCGCGTTCTTCGAAAAATATTCATGCAGTATCATGCTTTCATTTCCACAGACATGCAGACCAACTTGCCTAGACATAGTCAATGACCAACACAAGACTGTGTCAGATGTCTCCGAGAACATGAACCCATGGAACATATTCTTAGAAATGTTACCACCTGACTCTGGGTTCAGCGCGCTCCCGACCTTCGACAAGGAGAATGATGTTGTGCTGTTCTTCAAGTTCTACGATCCTAAACAGAAGCGCATACACTACTGCGGCCACCATTACTTGCCGATCGCGAGCAAGCCCGCAGATCTTATCCCTATACTTAATAAGCGTGCAGGTAAATAAATTAGTTTTTTGTCAAACAAACACTGTACAGAATAACTAAGTGGGCTATGTGCAATCAATTTACAACCCTATAGGGGTCACAGCATTGGCAAAAAAAGCTTCCTCTTAATTTTTTCATTTTAGATTGTAAATCTTTTTTGTTAGGATTTTTTTCTCGAAAAATCAGGCACTATCGTTCAGTGTTAGAACTTAAATTTATATGTTATTAAGTTTAAGTCATTGTGCCATGGCTTATAGGCTTAATTTTCTTAATAGTTTACTTATTCATGACTGCCCGGTTGGCGCAGTGGTTGGGTTACCGGCAGCTGTATAACGTGTCACGGGCTCGATTCCCGCAGAGAAGCTGATCGCGCCGATCCACAAATTATTGTTTCGTGTCTAGGTGGCTTAGTTGTGTGAAGTTGCATGTTTGTAAACGCAACTGCGACACAGCAAATTACCAAAGTTAGGTAATGTTAAAAAAGACATAAAAATAACACGAGAATTTTTAATTGAACTTTGACAGTCGCACACCTACACTAGGAAAAATTTCAGTCAAATTTATCCACGGGCCAATGTCTAATTTATTTGCATTCTTCTTACAATAAACAAGTTCTTAGGTCATTGACCTATACGGCCCTGTCTCGTAAATTATTTATTCATTCCTATTGATTTTACGATTCAAATGAATTTTATAATAATTCCACTCTTAATCGAAACAAGTTCCAATACTAGTAGATTGTAATCTAAACACGTGTTTCCGAATGTTGGCTATTAAGTGTAGACCGACTAATTAAAAACGCGATAATAAATATTTTTAATAGTGTTTTCTTATGTGTATTGGGTTTATAGATTACAGTTGTGTGTAACAAATTTGAGCTTTTGCTTTTGGTGGATATCACACCCACACGTACTAAACGTTTCGGCTCAGGTTTTTTCATCAAAACCTCTAATGAATGGGATTTTTGTCTCCAAGGCGAAAGAAAGAGTCTTTATGGCCCAAGTAAATAGCTTGCCAGGTTACTTTTGAGTAGGTGTGCTAGCGACCAAACAGCAATTAATCAAAAACTGCCTTACCTATCCTCTGTCGCAATAGGCCATGTCTAACTTTAAATTCGCTTTTTTCTAGGCTTCCCACCTGATACACCACTCGTCCTATACGAAGAAATAAAGCCAGACTTTGTTGAAAAAATCAACAATTACAGCGAACCTCTTGAAAAGGTATTATTTATCAGTTTTATCCCAGTGAAATTTACTATAGCAATAAGTCTTTACAACACAAACATCTTCCCAAGCAACTATGTATTTAGATAATAAATTGTTCTTCTATTTAAACTTTATTATATGTATATGTAATTGATTGCCCAAAAAGTTCTTAATTCTATGTAAAATGTATTTATTTTGTCTCTATACATGGTTAGGTTTATATAGTGTAATGTTACGATCGATTTTAGTTCTAGTTTGGTCCCCCATTCAGGTATTGCTGGCTCAGGTATAGTATTTAATAGTAATTTATTTACTATCATATAATATGTAATTTCACGTTGCACTGTTCAGATTTCAGAGCTTTTTTAATTTACACTTATATTTGCTGGTTTTTTCATACCCTAGCGTGACTGGTTACTGGGAACGCATTATCACTATATAACATTCATCAGTGTAGTATTTAACCAGGCAACAAGCTTGTACATGTGTCTCTTCTGTGTGTATTCTAGCATTTATGTGTTTTATAATAAATACAAAAACACGCCGTCATCCAGCTTGCTTCAAGGCCACTTCTATTTTAGTTGCGGGAATCCCATAACAGATGATAAACATTTCGTTACTTCAGAAATTAAATTAAGTTTGATAAATTCATTCTCTGAACAGTGCTTTGTTATTTTATCATATTTGTCAGCTTATTCACATACTTATTTTAATTTATATCATTCTAACACAAAGCTTCCTCAAGCACATCACATCTATACTCTTAATCCCAAACATTAAATTATATTCAGTATTTTAGTAAATAGATATATCTTCAAATTGATTATAACATGAAGCTGGAATAATTTTTACTATCTTAAATTAAGTACTGAATAAAATTTAAACTTTTAAAGCCGAGAGTAAAACACGTGTGTACACAGCGAATGTTATTGTTATCGGACTGCGAGAGTATGTCTAAAGTTAAAATAATTATACCAAACCATGCGTACATACGTTAATTAGCCTCGGTTTTATTAAAAATAAACTTAGTGACTCATCATTATGATCACAAGCCACTTGCTTCTTATGTTGAGTTACTACTATCACCTTACGTCACACCCTCATAGAATTGTGTTGTATACGAACATGTGTCAATATTTTTGTCATAAACAATGCTATTATTGAGCTTAAAGAAGCATCATTGACGATAGCATGTTATTGTGAGGTAATGAGATTTTACATTTATAATGCTGTATCGTATTGTAAAATACAATCAAAGTGATCTCTTTATTACTTTGAGTACAAAATTGTGGTCTTATACAAGCTTGCTCATTTTTATTACTTTGCATACCTCTAAGTTAACAATGTAATTTTACGTAATTTGCATAACAATTGAACACGCAACTTTTACAAAGCGTGCGAAATCCGTAGTTATTGTCTTGTTAATGAATGAACTCGATCAATGTGAATAGCGGAGCATAGGAATAATGAATAGTGCCCGCGTCACAGTACTAACAGTAACACAATATAAGTAATGACACGATACACGCATGTTGGTATACGCCACAAACTCTGGAGGGAGGGCATAAGGCGGGCTACCCTCGGGTTGAGTCGTGTGCACGCGGCCAGGTATTGGACGAGCTGATGGACGGCGACATCATTGTTTTCGAGCGTGCTGACCATCGACATGAGGACCTCGAGCTGCCAACCTGCCAGGACTACTTCAAGTACATCTTCTACAAAGTCGAAGTGCAATTTGTGGATAAGACTGTTCCCAACGACCCCGGGTGAGATATGTTTCTATATTCACTCATATTGAATAATGATATGGTTTCATTTGCAATGTAACTTCAAGATCGGGTTTTGCATATCTGATGTAAGTTCGTTTTTTTTTTGTATGTAGATGTTTTCGAAATAAGTTATTTAATTGTCATGTATATCAGTAAACAGCTTTTAAGTATTTACCGTAAGCTATATAATTATTTGTATAAAAACTATAACAGTATGTAACGTGTGGTACAGGTTTACTATGGAGTTGTCGATGCAGATGCGTTACGACCAGATGGCGCGGGCAGTCGGACAAAGGCTCAACGTCGACCCTTACTTAATACAGTTCTTCAAGTGTCAAAAGTTAGTATTTTGAAATATTGTAACATTGTACTATTTAGTAAGTTTTTTTTACCTTTGTACATGAGACTGGTACCACTCTTAGCAAGTGGTAGAAGTGAGAAGACTATATTATACTGGCTTATATTTAGTCTCATATAGTTAAAGTTCAAAGTAAACTCTGGAATTAATTAGTAAAAGTTCAAAGAGCAATGTTTTTTAACAATCGGAAATAAGGAATATACCGCTAATGTTAATTTTTCTTACTATAATACATTGTAAAAGTTTCATTGTCATGACTAGTTATGATCAACTGTATTTGAACTTGTTGCAGCTACAAGGACACCCCGGGAATTCCACTCAGATACTCATACGACGGAATACTTAAGGATTTGCTAGTGTACTGTAAACCAAAGTGCCCTAAGAAATTGTTCTACCAGATATTATCTATTAAAGTTAATGAATTGGATAACAAAAAACAATTTAAATGTTTATGGGTAAGTTGGAATTGTCATTGACATATACTATTTTCCTTACCATAGTACCTATCTTGAGGTGAAGTAACTAATCAAAAAATAAATAAATAATTATATACAAAGTATTTTATCATCACATCAATAGCAGAAGACTTGCAAATTAGATATCTGCCAGAATAATAGTGTTGAAAATTGCAGACATTTAGTAGAGATCTCTATCTTTTTTTCAGGTTGGTCCAAATTATAAAGAAGATAAGGAATTAATTTTATATCCAAATAAAGGCGGTAAAGTGTCAGATATTTTACAAGAGGCAGCTAAGGTCGTCGAAATGTCGCCAGACGGTTCGGGAACGTGAGTGATATAATTAATTTATAAATATCATTTTAATACGCAGTCACTAAGACTGAACAATCAAAAATATATTTTAATATTATTTTCTGTACATACAATAATACTGATAGTCTACTCATGTGCCTCAATATTTTTGAGCTGTTTTAATTAGGGCTCTTGCAACGAGGCTTTATGTTTATATTAATTTCAATTGAATTACGTCGTGAAGCACGCAACAGATTGTAAAGGTAACTAATAATTGTGTTGTTGATATTCAGATTAAGGATCGTAGAGGTGTCGTGTCACAAAGTATTACCTGGGCCCGATCCTGAATTGACGCTCGATCAAGTCACCATATCGCCGCCCAGACTCTATAGAATAGAGGAAATACCTAGAGACGAGCTCAACTTGCAGGTACGTTAACTCACTACTGGAATATCTAGGCAAATTCTAAGATCGATCCCACAAGCAAATTGAATGACTAAAAAAGTTTGTTCGGAAATTAAATGGCAACAAGAAAAATCATAATGGGTAAACTATTATGCTGCATCTCATTCTTCATGTAGACAAGACCATAGTAGAAGGCTTTGTTTACCATATAAATATAAGCTTGTAAACAAATCAGTCTGCTCGTTTGCCGACCTATGACAAAAACTTACAAGTTATCACTGATGACACGAGTGAGAAACGAATTTTATTGTAACTACTCGTATCGTGATAACACAACTTCACAGAAAACTGGCGTGAAACAAGCCAACAGCGTTGTGTTTCGCCATGTGAGTGAGGTAACCGGATGCCTAATCCTTCCCCTCCCCCTATCCCTCCCCAATCCTAAAATCTCTTAATTACTAATCCCCAAAAGGTTGGCGACGCACTAACTCCTCTGTTGTTGCCACATCCATCAGGTAATCCGCCTGCTCCTTTGCCGTCCACACACATAAAAAAACTTAAGCCTTTGACTGCCGACAGAAAACTGTCCTCCGCTATCGTAGGTCACCGGTGATCCATATGCCGCTTAACGTGTAAATAAATGTGTTTATTTTAATGTTTTCAGGAGGACGAGATCATAGTGCCGTGTGCCCACTTCCATAAGCAGGTGTACGCGACATTTGGTATCCCCTTCTACACGCGCGTCAAACACAACGAGCCCTTCCAGGCCGTCAAGGATCGGCTACAGAAGAAGCTCGACATACCTGATAAGGAGTGGGAAAAGGTAAATAAATATATTTTCATGGAATCTAAGATTCTGCCAGTGATTTTTAAGTAGAACTATTACTTTATTACTTTATTATTATTATGACTATCGTGAGACATGCTAAATTGGTTTAAAAATAACGACTTACATGAATCTACTGAAAAAAGCTCTACTAGAGTCTGCAACAGGCAGCTTGTTCAGAGCAGCGTACGCATTGGTACTTATTGATTTAATAAGTTCTGCCAGCAACTCTGACTGCGTTTCTGTTCAAGGCCCATCCAAGTTATTTCCTTGACTTGTTACTAAATCTTTATTCAAATCGCATTTATAGAGATCTTTCCAATAGTTTTTCAGTGAAAAGAAGAAATAGTCTAGTTTAAAAATTCAAATTTGGAATTCAGCCGTATAGCAAAGAAAAAAAAAAGATAAAAAATATATATCAAGCTATAATTACATTTCTTATTTTTTCAGTACAATTTCGCTATAGTGACAAATGGCAGACCTAACTACATAAGTGAAGGAGCGACAATAAACATTTATGACTTCAGGCCAAGTAGTAACGCGAGTGAGTATCAATTCTTACATGCATAACACTGAATATTTATAAAGTGTGGATATTTCTTAAATCTTTAGGCATCGGAAAGACTAAGTACTACTCTAAGTCTTTTTCTAAATAATGTAGACATTAATTTACTCAATAGTAATTCCTCATGTTCGCCCATTATAGACAGGGCAACTATAACTACTACGTTGAACTCTTTCTGCCCTTCCGATGCCAGATTCTTCTCCTTTTGTCTTTAGCGAATTCACCACATGTGGTGTAAAGAGAACCATTTTTTTGACCAAATTTTTGTGCCCATCATTTCTTTTTGTCCTGAATTCCTCAGTCTCTAAGAGAGTTTTCTCGCAGATTTGGAAGGAAGCTCACGTGATTCCCCTAGCCAAGAAAACAAATCCTGTCATTTTCTCTGACTTTCTTCCTTTCCTTTCCAAAATCTTTGAAAATATGGTCCATCATCAGCTCAGTATGTTCCTCACCAAAAACAATCTCCTTATTCCTCTTCAATCGGAAAATGTTCGCTTCGGTGGGCTCCCTAAGGCGTCTCCAGACTTTCTTGCCGTTTGATACCAAAATTGCTTTGGCACAATCTTTTCTTCTTCCAATCCTCGACTATGCTGATGCCAGCTATCTTGATCTCAAGAACAATTGGATAAGTTTGAGCGCCTTCAAAATCTTTCAATCAGATTTGTATTTGGACTGCGTAAATATAATCACAAGCTCAAATGGCTGCCTATTCGTCTTTGAACGCACATGTTCTATCATTATTTTAAAATTACTAAGTACTATTTAATCCCGCTGCCCCTTGTTATCTAAAAGAACGATTTCAGTTCCATGGTGACACACATTCCAAATGCTTGAGATCATCAGAAAACCTCAACTTACGTATCTGCTTGCATTCCATTTTCTTTTTTGGCAATTCCTTTACTATTCAAGCAGCTCGTTTGTGGATTCGATTGCAGTGAGGCGTGCTCAAACCTGGCCTCAGTTTAGGTATTGTTGTACACTTGATGACTCGATTTCCCGCATTCTAATCTCTAGCTCCACCCAAAGGTTGTCTGTAAGCAATCGTATTTAGCGATAAGATCGCCCATTGCACATTATATCTTAAGCTTTTCTGTACAATAAAGAGTAAATAAATAAATATACTCAAATTTCAATTATTATTGATTGCAATAGATCCAATCCTTAAAGGAATGTGTGCTAAAATATAATATAGATCTGTCCCTTCCAGACGCGACGGCCCGGCCGTGGCTGGGGTTGGAGCATATCAACAAGACGCCAAAGCGGTCCCGCGCCAACTACCTAGAGAAGGCGATCAAGATATACAACTGAGCCGTCACGTGCGCTCCCTGGTTCGCAGGACGGGCGCGCCCAGCCCGCTAGTACCGCGACAGTACGCCCGCGCCCCGCGTCTTACTGCGCTCCCTATACTTTTAATTTCATCTCCCACGTTGTCATTTGTTTGGCTTCTTCTATTACAGATAAATGTAACGTTAACTTTGAGCACTGCGCTTGTGCCGTGTTACTGTCGCCTGGGTACGCAACTTGATAGCCTTATTTATATAGTTATATGCATCGCTAACACCAATATTTGACTTTCTTTACTGCCCTATTTATTCTAAGAAGGAAACTAATCCTGATCATGTGAAATAGACTCTGAGGCCATAGAATAGTCAGGCTAGAAAAATGCTTTTATGATTATTTCTAATGTGTAACATAGTTTGTATGGCCGTCGTATAATATTAGTCTTGTCACGAAAGCAGGAAAGGTTTTGCTGGTAAAGTGATCCGTTCGAGTATTATGTTATTCTATTTTTTCATGTTTGTATAACACTTTATATTATTTTGTTAAATCTGTGGCATTATTAGATTTAATCTTGAGATCATTTCGAAAACAAGTTGACTAAACAGTAATGATGAAATGAAACTGAACGTGACCGCTATCATACAAAGGAATGCAAGGGCCTGGTCACGTAGTTTATCTTGTACATAGTTTGCGTATACCGTGGCGACCTGTTTGTATCTGAACACAGTATATATAGCCGGCGCGCGGGCGTCGCTCAGACTGTGAAACACGTCTCCCCTAAACCAGTGAGTGAACCACGTGGCCTCCCGTACATACTGACATGTCTGCAGTTGTTTTTTATATTAGTTTAATGAAAGCTGTTGGTTGAACGAGGCAGAGACAAGATCGCGATTCGCCTCGAAGGTTGTGCCAACTGTCCCGGCCTCGCTCAGTCGAGCAGTGCGGTCGTCTGGGGTGATTCGGCAATGTAAAGCATTTTCACGGAGTATACAAGAAGCATTATTTAGACATGAATTTGAATAGTAATAAAATGTGCCTCTGTGTGTTGACGCTTGTTTGATTAACTATATTAACAAACTAGTGTAATATAAAGAAGTATTTACCAGTTAAAGCGGCTTGCTGATCGTTCGTTATGACGGCAGAGTTCTCGGAAGCTTGTAATGTTAAAAAACTATTTTATTATAAATGTTGAACATAGTAATCGAGTTGGATGAAATGCATGATATTAATAGTTTAATTAATATTCAAAGGTTTAAAATACAGCCAGTTGATATGTTACTATTAATTTCCAAAATAGAAAAATATGGTGATACATGACATACGCTTTACAAATACCCCCCATTAATTAATTTTATACCATTTTACATGTAACATAAATTTTGCTTGACACGTTGCGTCCATTTTTTTGCATCATGGAGAGATCTTTAACTTTACGACCATGACTGTCAAATGAATTTGAATATTTGAATAGAGTAAAAGAATTGGTTTTGTATCTACAATGATGGTATTGTGATAATAAATATTAGTGAAGCCTGTACATAGCTGCTGCACATACCTTTACATAGGACAATCATGTCTGGGTTTGTGCTTTTCTATAAAAATAATGTTAAAAGACACTCGCTAAAACTTTCATGTGTAATCTGTTTTATAGAAATTATTGGAGTATATTATATACTAAAGTCTAAAATGTTTTATTGATTGTCGAATTGCCAACACCTACGTGTATGTTTGGGGCTAAAGCAATATCAATTAGTCTAATATAGTACCGCGACAAGGCGTAGCGAGTAGCGGCCTCAACTGTACACTAGGTTTATTTGCACATAATAGAATAACGTTAGCACTGTATTGTTAATTCTGGCTAAAAGCGTCCGAGCGATCTGAAGCGAAGCGGTCTACATGTTACTATTTAATAATTGGTTAAATCAGAATCTTTCCATTGAGAAATCCATTGTAAAATTATACTTTTTGGAGAAATGTTATTCACTACATGTTTCGTAATAAACAAATGCGAGTACGTGGGTCTTCATTACTATATTATATTAATCGTAGAAATGATTATTATACATAGTAAGAGGTGAACCTAGTTCCTGGAAGTATAATTTTATATAATGTTACTGTTTAATTTTATACTTGACCTGCCAGAGATATGTTACGTTTTTAAATAAATGATTATGTCGAAATTATGTATATATATGATGTAATAAATTAAGAAAAAAATACAATAAGTTTTCGTAAAGATGCCTTAGACGTTTTAAGACATTTTTAGTGATTTGAAATGATAATACTTAATTTAATTTATACCCTTTTTAGTTTTTATTTCGTGTCTGGAGAAGGTAACTTCACATCTCGAGTATATCTCTGTTGTCTATGAGTGCAAGCGATGTTCTATCGATTGCTTTCCTTCTAATGTTTCTGTTCAAATCGTTAATTTTATGTTAACATTGTGTGTTGGTTGCGCTATTTTCATTAACATGGTTTGAGGTATATTGAAAAGAACTTAGAAACATAGTGGCTTAGTAGTTGATACATGCCGAGGATAATAAAATGGCAAATGGGATTATAATTTATTAATTGTTTCACATATTGAGCTATTTTACTAGGTTCGAACCCGTTGTGTAGGCGAGTCTGTATACAGCTTGTGCAAACATTGAAAGTATCCCAATGTTTGTTATGTTGGATTTGAATGTTTCATTGAATATAATCCTATATTTGTTTTATTTGGTTTGTTTTCTGAAAATGGCTCCCTCGACCTCGAGTGTGTATGTTACCGGTCCGGTCCATGGATGACAATTATTTTTTCCAGTTCCGATGGAGGTGAATGGGAGTATTAAACGAATCCTTAGAGCTAACAAGCTCCTCTTATTTTTGGCTTGCTGTCTCACGAGAACAGGATAATCCTAATGTTAACGGAAAAATTACAATTGTGATATTTGATATTGATAAGATTCAATTGTTTTTTTACTATTGAATTTTACCGATATCAGATAAAAATTAAATTTAAAATAAAATTTGGTACATAGTTTGGAACTCGAGAAAGGACATAGAATAGTTTTTATGCAAAAAATCAGCAGGAAAAGTCACTATTATTCCACGCGAACGGAATCGCGGGCAAAAGCTTGTTCTAAATAAAAATAGATTACATTGAATTAGAATTTCCTGGACGTAGCTGAAGAATTATTATGATATTATCTAAGTGTCCCAACAAATTGCATGCTGTAGTCATCAAGCCTTCAACAATGACTTCTACATAAATATTCATCTCTCATCATAAACTAAGGAGTAGAAAACGCTTGAAATAGACCAAAATGGTAACACTTCGGCACAAAGACTAAGAAAACATGAGATATTGGATAGGTCATCAAACGAGTACCGTAAAACGGGGTGAATAGAATTGGGTAGTTTCCTAGGTCAAAAATAAATTACTTCGACGTTTCTACACAGTAATTTATTGAAAAATAACTATACTTTTATTCATCGATCGATACACTAAGTTTTAGATTTTTTTAGCTAGGTATTTATTAAGAAATAAGCTATTTGACGCAAAAATGTTATGACGTGATAATTCATAAAAAAGTATAGTTTTTGACGTTTGGATAAAAGTATTGAATTACTAATTCGAAACTTAATATAAATTAATTAGTAATTGGTATTTGAGAGGTGAATAGATACACGAACGGGATGAATAGATGCTGGCCCTCTTCTACGTCTATTTACCCCTCGAATTATATTCACCCCATTAGTTATTCAGCATTAGTATTCAGCTCAGTACTGATCATCTGTTGGTAAGCAATAAAAAAAAAAGCAACTACGCCATGGACACCCCGCAAAGTTACCAGTGCGTTGCTAGCGTATAGGTTCATAGGGATTTGGGGACTGGGGATGAAAGGGCGGAGGATAGGGCCGCCTAGGACACTGCGAAATACTACGTAGCAAAGTAAAATATTAATTAGTAGGTACCTCCAAAATGTGGTCACACTACACAGAATTTACAAGAAAACAGTTTTTTCAAGTATTGTTTTTTCAGAATTCAAAATTGCAGAACTGTGCAGATATATATGATGTATTATTTTATTTAGAAGCAATGCACAGAGTAAATATATATTAACGCATTTTCTTTGGCTCCTCAATCTTTTTTTTGTGAGTCGGGCGGGAGGTATTTTCAAACCCTTACTAACTAAAAACGCCCCCGTTGCTTCTGCTCTGGGCCGAGGTCACGGTGCCTCATGGCTCCTTAATCTTAAAAATTATTTATGATTGACTGTAGCTATCTATGATTTCAACGAAATCTAAAGCCAGAGATACTAACATTTAGCAGAAATGTCTACTAAATATAATTATCTGCACAGTTCACCAATCTATAATAATATATTTTGGCCCATTTTCGTGTAAATTCAGTGTGTAGGGTGACCACATTATACTAGTTTTAATGAAACCAGGATAAGAAAATTAAATTTATATTTTTACTACAGATTACACCTATCTACCTATGATTTGGTTATTTAACAATCAATTTCGCTATAAGTTACAGAATGAATGATGATAATTCGACTCATACGAATTTTAGAATCGTAATCATCGTAACAGAATATCTCATCAGTCGGTTTTTTCTTCAGCGATTAAAGTTGCATCTTCTAAAACTTGGATGTAACAGAAATTATGTTCAAATTGAAATCCAAAAATACGATCTGACTGCGTGTCCGTTACCCAGGCCAGATGTTGTCGACAATGGTCATTTGAATCTTATAGATAATTAGTTGTGGGGCTTCTGTAATTGTTGCGCACATTTTTAAATTTGTTGCGCTTATAGTTTTTTAATTATTTCACAAAAACATTTCCTGCTAGCGTAACGTTACCACAGCCAGACCTTTTTCTTACTAATGGAAATATTTAAATAAATATTAGCTATAAAATTAGTTGTCTAGATAAAGTAAATGTTGTGCCTTATTTTGTATTTGTTCTTTCTTCGGTTGCGAAGTTATTCGAGATTTTGCTGCGGTAACGTTTTTGGTTTTGCTAGATCTTTGAAATGGTTAAGCGGATTCTTATCATATTTTGTACACGACTTCCGAGGACTTAGTTTAAATTTGTTGTGCAATAACAAAACCAAAATAATGCATATTTTAAAGGTTTTTTCATTAAATAGAAAAACACTTCAATTGGCCCCAGCACTCTCAATAAGAAGTCTAAAGACTTACTTTAAACGTAATTTTAAAGCTTGTAACTGCCTTCAAATGTATGTGAAGTTTCACTAGTATCCCGTAAGTATTTAACAAGTTATGATGATATTCAGTTCTTCACGAGCACGGTCTTAATGCACGCGGTGTTATTTGGCCACTGGATTGGATATATGAACTGAATGTTATGTCAATGATTAGTTGTTTAGATCAGTTGTATATCAGTAAAATTTCAGCTCAATACATTGGATAATTAATGAGATAATACTATTAAAGTCATTACGAAGTGAATGACCGTGGTAAGCCGACCAAGTTTAGGTGGTAACGAAAAAGCGAAAACGCAGAACATTGTACTATCTTTTGAAATGTTTAGTATAATACACCTTACAATTTTGGTACAGACGCGTACACTGTTAAATACCTATATAATAATAATATAAAAGAAAACATTATGTACCAGTTCCACAAAATTATCAAAAACCACCGCTAGAGCATGCCGTTCGGTAGGACGCAGGAGGAGTGGGGTGAAGGGGTAATACATTGTTTGCATAACGCACTCAGTCTTTCCAAAAGGTTAATTTTGTAACCTTTTAGATGATTTTTGAACTGCATTTTGAAATAGAAATGACAAGGACGGGTGATGTTTAATCGGTTGCTAAGCAACACAAGTTTTTATAAGTAAGGGAGTAAAAGTTCAATTGAAATGATTATTTTACCTTTCAATAAAAAATCTTGAATAATCATGTAGTTTTTTTTTAAACTTTTGTACATGTCTGTACTAAATTTATAACACTATCCTACATATTTTAGAAGGTACCACAATGTTCTGCGTTTTCGCTTTTTCGTAACCACCTAAACTTGGTCGGCTTACCACGGTCATTCACTTCGTAATGACTTTAATAGTATTATCTCATTAATTATCCAATGTATTGAGCTGAAATTTTACTGATATACAACTGATCTAAACAACTAATCATTGACATAACATTCAGTTCATATATCCAATCCAGTGGCCAAATAACACCGCGTGCATTAAGACCGTGCTCGTGAAGATCTGAATATCATCATAACTTGTTAAATACTTACGGGATACTAGTGAAACTTCACATACATTTGAAGGCAGTTACAAGCTTTAAAATTACGTTTAAAGTAAGTCTTTAGACTTCTTATTGAGAGTGCTGGGGCCAATTGAAGTGTTTTTCTATTTAATGAAAAAACCTTTAAAATATGCATTATTTTGGTTTTGTTATTGCACAACAAATTTAAACTAAGTCCTCGGAAGTCGTGTACAAAATATGATAAGAATCCGCTTAACCATTTCAAAGATCTAGCAAAACCAAAAACGTTACCGCAGCAAAATCTCGAATAACTTCGCAACCGAAGAAAGAACAAATACAAAATAAGGCACAACATTTACTTTATCTAGAAAACTAATTTTATAGCTAATATTTATTTAAATATTTCCATTAGTAAGAAAAAGGTCTGGCTGTGGTAACGTTACGCTAGCAGGAAATGTTTTTGTGAAATAATTAAAAAACTATAAGCGCAACAAATTTAAAAATGTGCGCAACAATTACAGAAGCCCCACAACTAATTATCTATAAGATTCAAATGACCATTGTCGACAACATCTGGCCTGGGTAACGGACACTCTGACTGCATACTGAGATAAAATGGTTATACCTAAATCATTAGTTTCTTTCTAAAAACGTTTTCAAAAATGATTTTACTCGTTCAAAAATGTAAGAAATATTACAAGCAAATTCACAGTGGCTTTCAAAATACAGCACGCTCACAGCACGCCAATTTGTGTTTTCATTTTGTGAATATCACCGTCATTATAGAAGCAGAATTTTTATTTATTAATTTTTAATAGTTCGGCAAACGACCAGACGGATTACTTGATGGTAAGCAATTAGCGCCGCCCATGGACACTCGCACGGAGGAGTTACGAGTGCGTTGCCGATCTTTTAGGGATAAGGGATTTGGAGATTTAGGGATTTAGGAGGGATTGAGTGAGGGGAAGGATTGGGCCTCCGGTAACGCCGGTTTTTTGTGAAGCCGAGGTATCACTCCGGTCGAGCCGACCCATTCGTGGCGAAGCATGGCTCTCCCACACTTAAACTGACTTAGAACTAACTTAGAATCTGATAGTTGTTTTTTTTTTATTTTATGTAAATTAAAATCGTTGTTTTTGACCAACCTGCACTTTAATTCCATTTTACCTTCACATACCTACATGAACAAACGAGATTCATGTAGGTATGTAAGGTACAAACGAAAATTACTCCACCGCTGATGAATGTTTTGTTACTACACGTTAGCGATCAATCAACGCAAGGTGAGCATTCGAGCAGCGAGTTGTCACAGTTGTCCAGCCGCTTTCTGCGCATAAAGGGCGTAAGACCGAGACGATCTGGTGACGCTACGGAGTTGATATAGTCCATATAAGACAATATAAAGAATACTAGCTGCAGGGGCCTAGTTCGAGGTTGCGGGTTAAGCATAATGAGTCACCGCGGCCTGTCTGTCAATCTGACACTCTTTCTCGCTTGACCCTGGGCGGGAGAAGTCACTTATTTTTTTCTTTATACTTTTTTTTTAAATAATTGCATTTGATGATTTTCCTCTCACAAAAAAAGAAGGGGCCTAGTTCGAGTGGAGAGTCGGTGCCGATTGGCTTTGATGAGCTGTGACCTTTATGCAACAATTTTGCTAATAGATTTCTTGTTGTTTTTGTTATCGTCGCAAGAAAGTTTTTACATACGTATTTTTTTTTTCGAAAAGATGAGGTTAAAATTTCGATGTAGCGACCCCATTGCCTTTAGCTAAGGAAGTTAGACACCCGTGCGTGAATCAGGGGCGGGCCACTAGTGTATAATAGAATAACATCCTCGACCGCACTTTCACGCGTTCCCGATTAAATAGACGATTGGGATCAATCAACGCGAGATGTTTCCGATATTTTAGGATATTGGAAGCCGTATATCATTTCACGGTAAAAGGCTTTTAGGTTTGACTACAAAAATAGTAACGAATTTCTGTTTACGCTTTACGACAATGTTGTTGTGGCTATTGTAAACACATAACTACATACCTATTTATTATATTTATGTATCTAAGACCTATCAAGTTAGTGTTGTATGAGACAAAATATACCTAGGTAGTCGGTAGATAAGTTATTTGCATCGATAGTTATACCTACCTTCGTAGGTATATGTAGGGAAGTTTTAAATAAATAAATTCGATATTGTGTCGTAAATGTTCAATTACCTAGGGTTTATTAACAAATTATTTCTAATAAATCATAACAGGCTGTAGTTAGATATTGGATTTTCCAGGATTAAATGTATTTTATGTTTAACAAACAATATTAATTACAGCTCCTGGAACAAAGCACATAAATCTGTGCGATTAATATAGGTATATTTTTAATTTATAATTTACAAGCATCAGGCCGTCCATCGACGCCCGCCGTCGCTCGGAACAATGTCGTAATTTCATTTAAATCCTCTCTGGCTCCAGCCTACAAATCTTAGCGAAGCTTTCGAAATGATTGAATTTTTATGCGGCTGCCTGTCTGCTTTTATTTTGCTACCGTCGCTGTTTTTACATTATATTACGCGGGGAATAAGGCGTCTCATTCATTATCCTGAATTTTGTTGGTTTATACTTTATACTGGCTATCATTGGTATGATGGAAGAAACGGAGGCAAGTGGTTCTGACACAATTTTCGGCCAAATTCAGCCGTTCAAGGCTCAAGAACAAAATAAATTACAATTTCAATAGTCGTACTATACGATCCTATCTACCTAGGAAGTGTTTCTATTAGTAAATCAACATTTGACCGGAGTGATACAACGGCCTCACAGAAAACCGGCGTGAAACAACCACAGCGTTGTGTTTCGCTGCCGTGTGAGTGAGGTTACCGGAGGCCCAATCCTTCCCCTCCCCCAATCCCTCCTCAATCCCTAAATCTCCAAATCCCTAATAAAAGGTCGGCAACGCACTCGTAACTCCTCCGTTGCGGGTGTCCAAGGGCGGCGCTGATAGCTTACCACCCGGTAATCCGTCTGCTCGGTTGCCGACCTATTACATAAAAAAAACATTGGTCACCAACGAACGAAGCATATCGTTGATATATCTACCTGTCTAATTAATCGATTTCGACATAAGTAATACCTACCTACACTGGCCACTTTATCAGACGTTTAAAGATTAAATAATCCCTCTAAGTCTGCAAGGCAATTGGCTGTGCAGCCATAACCGTAATGACAATTAATTATTAATCGTCGCCGGCGGAATCCTTTCGTAATCCTGGCTTCCGTCGACCGACGACGGACTAGACGGGATGAAAAACTATAGTAATTAATCCTACAGCTCGGAATTGTACATTTAAAAAGCTTTGTGAAGAGCTATCTGCTTTCTCGAAATTACATTTCTCATTAGGATTCTCCTCGGGGAATGCTAATTTGCAACATCGATAGAGCTTGTGATGAGATCCATTGTCTCTAATATAGATAATATAGATATTATATGTAAGAGTTTTTTAAGTGTAAGTATCTAGATCCGTTTTGTTGATTTCGTACATATTTATATACCTTCTTATACCTACTTATGAAGTTAACACATTCAGTTCATTCACCTGAGGAATTCTCCTCGCCGAGGCCGCGGTGCCTTATTGCGCTTACCCCGCAATCCCGACAGATCTTCAGCCCTACAGGGCCCCATCTGTGGTGGTACGTTTGGGCCTGGTTTACGGCAACGACCCACGCCTACCGGGCCGGAGATCATCTCTCGATCAGCGCCATAACTGGAACATTAATTTCTTACTACTTTTCTTGATCCCTCTTCGTACACAAATGCTAGTGCAACTATTTAAATATTCCGCGCCATGTGGATAAGAAGTCCATATAGATAAATATGCAAATGGCTCATTACGGATGCACAGTTACTGTAAATGAGTATTGATTTTTATTAGGGTGATAAATCGGTCGGCAAGTTGGGAAATTTAATGAGTGGAGGCTGGGGATCCTGCAACAGTTTATCAGTGTCGCACAGGACACGGCGGGAATGCGGTCGACTGCGGCGGTCATACAGAATGGTGCGTCGTTAGCGTTAATCCGATTCGGGCATTGGAGCATTCGAGTATCCAACGTTGCCGGCATCCCGCCCCCTCCCGCGGAGCTCAGCAATGCGAGCTCAGGAATTTGAATGCAAATTGAAAATGCCATTAGATCAGCAAACATTCTGCCGGACGATCAAACGTTGCAATGCGCTGGTAACGGACAAATAATTATTATCGTTAGTATTCTGTATATTACAGAATATAGTCAGCTAGATTACATTCTTCTCATCCATAAGGGTAGTAGTGATTTCGAAATAATTCCATAACGGCATTATAAAAATGTGTAGACATTTTTTTTGAGATGTAAAATGAATAATATGTTCCTACCGCTAGTTTGGTCAACACAGCCACCACATAAAAACTAACTTTTTAATATTTTATACTACTAACCTTCAGCTCACATATCAAACTTAAAATATGCAAGTAAATATACAAAAACGTATGATTTCGCTGTACGCGAGCGATAACTGGTTTATGACGATATAAATTTCGTGCTTAAAATATATTTTCATACTAGAGTAACTGTCACAAAGTTATTAAAATATGGAAAAACGTATTTTTAAAATTAAAAATCTTTTTCTTTTTATTATTTGTGTTGTGTTCGCGTTGAGTGGGAGTGTACGTTCGATTGAAGATAAGTCTGGAGACGTTAATTCTTCAACTCTGACGACAGCGAAGAACCACGTTGATGTGTCTCCAAAGCCGACAGGCTTGTACAGAAGAATCAACTTCGCCATCGAAGAGTATAAAAGCACACCACTGGACTTGCTACGCAATGAGAAGCCAAAGAGGAGAAGTACCTATTTATTAATGAAGTTTAACTACTAACACACAGTTTGGTCTATCGATTTAGGTGGTTAACTAAAGCTATGTCGTGGTATGTCTTTTTATATTCAAAAGGTCGTATTAAATACATTCAAATATTATTTTAATTTAGTTTATTAGCTGTTACTTGAAATACCTGATTGTACATAGGTACAATGTTATGTTATACAACTTTTAGTCAAAGAGACAAGCCAAGATTGTTTACATTTAATTAATTGCTACTTAAACCGGTAGATAACTAACTGGTAACTACAGACTTTTATCCAAGTGACTGTTATTTTGTACCCTTGATAACCTGGTGACCATCGATTACTCGTACTATAAAGATCGACTATATTTTTATGTTGATGTCAGATTTTTTTTCATATTTCAATTTTGTGAGCGTACATATTTTTTCTGTCATTCCTACTTCTTAGCCCTGTTTATAAATTACCACTAATTCTGAAGATACCGCCGTCCCTGCACGCATCTTCACTTGCTTATCTCGAGGTCGACTTGTTTGCTTCTTGCTCTACAGAAAAAAACCATGTTTTTATTCAAAAAACGCCTCTAATTTAAGGGCTCTTTGTACCTTGACACATGGCTGCCATTTTCATCTTGTTGTAGGTCACATGGAGGATGTCTGGAAATGGGATTATTGGTGTCAGTTGCAGCCTAAAACGGGTAAATGTACTGAAGAAGAACAGTAAGTTCATAGATCATGTTAATTTTTACGCTAACAAGTCAGTGAATAATATTGTTAATTGGGAATTTCTTCCACAGGGCACAGGTAGGATATCCCAGAGAAAGGTTAGTGGAAATAAACATTTATACATTCGCTATAAGTACTGGAGGGCTGGTAAGGTCCTTAATAATGTAGGTATCTACGATGATATGTAAAAACAAACATGTTCATATTTAAACTGAATAGGGTAGACTGGGTACGGTTGAAACAATTTGGCATATTTGGTTTATAATTTTGTCATTTATTAACCAAATGATCATTATGATACATGAAATTCAAATATGAAGTTTTAGCTACGATATGGCAGTGTCATTGTGATTCTCAAATTACTATTTTTGGAAATATGCGAAGTTAAGAAATATTTATATTTTGTTTCAACCGTCCCCGGGCCAGGGGCGGTTGAAACAGCGATTGGGGTCAATTGAAACACATACAAATAAAACAATAAATACTAATGAAATATGTTTTATTTGTAATTAATACCTAATTATATTAATAATTATCACAACATTAATCAGTATTCAAGATTTTAATTCTTCTCAAACGTTTATCAGCCTTTGACTAATACCTAGTAAAGATTTAGAGTAATTATAAAAACGGTAGTATCAGAACAAAGGTATCAGAATAAACTTTAAAAACAAATAGACTTTGAAAATAAACTAATTAAGAGACATTTCTAAATAACAAAATAACCATTGTGAATAAACTATACGAAAATATTTTTAAATCAAATAAACTAATAAAGAAATCCATGCTTAGATCAAATAGACATGGATAATTAACTTATAGAAAACATTTAGCTTAGACATTAATCGTAGCTAAGACCACATTCTGTGCATTCTTCATGTGCCCACTGTTTACACGAAGTACATTGAATTCACTTCTCTCCAGATCTGCTCTCTGAATATGGTGCTGGAGTGTCAGACTCTTACTGACTAAAAACCCCCCCGTTCCTTCTCCTGCTCTGGGCCGAGTTCGCGGTAACTCATTGCACTTACCCCGCAACCCCGGTTTGAATATGGTGCTTCTTAGCATAGAATACAATACCATTCTTCCTCTTCTGATGTATTTTTTCTTTCGTTTTTAAATTTCTTTCTTACTGCGTCCTTTCTTATGTAGTCCGAAATATATATCAGCACATCGCATCATACATGATAATTCTCGCTCCTGATCTTCATTAAAAACACGATTGTGTGCTCTACAGCCCATATCGTCACCACCGGTCGCATCTCGCTTTCGAATGTATCAGGGAACATTGGTGTATACCATGCTTTTCCGCCGCTTTCCGTAAGGTTTCTCCAGCTTTTACCTCCTCATATGCATTACTGTAACTTCATAAGTCAATGTTCCCTCTGGAAGTCTTCCTCAACCGAACTCTCGACATCTACAAAAAAAAACATAAATATATTTTCTGTTTCAACCGTACCCACAAAAAATGTTTCAACCGTCCCCAAGCCCACTTTATGTATAATATACTCTATATTTACGACAGTAATCATAATATATTAAAAATAGTCACTATTCCTTATTCTTCAAGCATCGTAATAATCGCAAACACACACCTTATAACATTCACTTAGAAATAACAGATAATAAAAGCGTTAATGTCAGAAGAAAAATACTTACTTTTGTGTGATAATAATTAATATGGCGTCCTGCACACAACCTCAATGCGCGGGATGTGGAACGGCACTGTATTCGGGTTCGGACCTGTCGTCCGCTTATTCTTCCCCTTACACCCCATATTCCCCGCGTAACCATTTACGAGATATTTACTCTGTTTCAACCGTCCTTTGTTTCAATCGTACCCAGTCTACCCTAGAGGTTTACAACTGGCGCAGCTCAAAAAGTTTCCTTTCTACCATTAAACAGACAAGGATGGGTTCGGTGTTGATCCTGAGAAATTAAATTAAATTCTTTATATCAGACCAAAGATCCATACAAAAGTGTTCCATCCATACAAAGTTTAACTTCTTATCCTAATGTTGGGTAGAAAACATTGGTTAATATTTATCAAATATTGACATGGAAAACAGGACGCACATGTCTACTTGCTCTGTCTCATAAGCGGGTTATCAATTTTGGCTACCAGTGTAGCTAGTTACTGTTAGGACTGCCTCTCAATCGCTACATTATGGATGCACATCGCTTGCTTATAATGGCATAGAAGTCGTCTGCTCTGGCTTCCGAATATAAGAGACTAGCAACTCTCGCGCGGTTGCGGTAGTGTGATGTTTTATAGCACTCGGGAACATTGTAACTGTCTATCAGTTAAAGAATTTTGGCAATCCGACCAGCGGTTCCAATGATTACACCCTAAATACAAACTTACAAATTTTCCTCTTTATAATATTAGTATAGATAACACACAAAACATAGATATATCTATAGGTAAGTAAGTATCTAATAAGAATGTTTTTAATTGCAGCTTCTATTACGATGCCCAGATAGACGCATGCCAGACATTCATATACTCCGGATGCGATGGCAATCAAAACAATTTTGCCAAGTTAATTGACTGCGAACGCCATTGTAAAGGTACTTATTTTATTTCATAAACTTACTTCCTTTATATATTCCATTATACTTACTTTGGGTAGATTGTACCTACAGTTCGCAAGTTCAAAGTGTGAGAGATCCATGCTTCATTGGCGAGTTCAGCTGTAGTGACACCACGGCATCACAATAAAACAACGCTTGCATTGTGTTTCGCCGTGTAAGTGAGGTTACCGAAGGCTAAAAATCCTTTCTCCCTATCTCCATCCCTAATCTCCGAATCCCATAAAACCCAAAACAGTCTGGTCTGTCAATCCAACAAAATCGTCACTTCTGTGGTGTGAAAAATAGCACAACTTCTATAGAGATAGTTTTAAAAAACCGGTTGGGAAGTTCGCGATTCGAAATATTCTATACCTATAAATTTAATATATGCCACAGAGGTCCATATGAAGGTAAAATATTTTGTTCAGTAAAGGAAGTTTTATAAAAATCCGTTTTAGGATCAGCCCACATGGTAATAAAAGAAACATCAAGAGCATCATATTGTGGTTTGCAACCCAATGCTGGACTGTGCATGTCTTTGTTACAAAGGTAAGTGACTTTCTAAAGTAACAAGTGAACAATCTGCCAAGAAAATGTTTCAAATATTTACTGGAATTCGCACCTCATTGATCGTAACTAAGTAGGGAATGAAGATCATGGTGGCCCGGAGGTTAAGGCACCCGCTTGAGGATGAGGGTGCGGGCTCGACACCTTTTAAGTTAGAAATTGCCAATCCACCTTGAGCAAGCGTGATGATTAATGCTCAAACCTTCTCCGTGTGAGATAAGGCCTTTGCTCAGCAGTGGGCACTTATAGGCTGATGATGTGCAAAGCAGGGAGCATGATCTATATGGCAATTTGTGCTCATTATTTATGGTCATGACGTGGTCTTTACAAGTTTCTGTATGGCCCCATTTGCCCCTTGCGGGAAACGCTCCACGCCATACCTTAGGCCGTGGCTCATTACTGTTTTCAAGAACTCTAAGGTCTTTTAAAAAGTTAATATATTTGTTTTAAAGGTACTATTACGACGTGAACGCGAATGAGTGCAAAGTTTTCTTATACGGAGGTTGTGGAGGAAACCAGAACAGGTTCCAGACTCATTCGCTCTGCATGGAAAGATGTACAGAAGATGAATAAATATTATATCAGTAAATTTATGTTTTAATCATACTTCCAACTTCAAAAAGAGCGCTAAATTGGCGTATTGGTTCTTTTAAAAACACTGTCTACTTATATATTTTACTTTCTAAATCACGGTAGCACAATAATTATATTCCAAACTCTAAAGACGTCGTGGTAGCTCGGAGGTTCGAAACCTGGCGAGTACCAATGTGACTTTCCGAGTTAGCCACCACCACACACACATACAGTGAAGGAAAACGTCGTAAAGGAAACCTGGACTTATAATATAATTTCTAATTATAAGTTTGAAATATTCTGGGCAAGCGTGGTGATTAATGCTCAAAACTTTTCCGTATCAAAAGAGGTGTCTGCTTAGCAGCCGACACTTATAAGCTGATAATGTTAAGCCCCGTAAAACCGTTGCATTGCATTTCGACTGTGAGATTGGATTAGAATTTATAACCGATAGAGCCAAGAACTATTCTTAGTCAAATGAAACCCCGAGAGTACGATGCGTAGCGTTCCGCGCGCGCCTCAAAGAGCCAATAGACCACCACAGACGGGGCCCTATAAGGCTGATGTTCAGCCGGGGTTGCGGGTTAAGTGCAATGAGTCACCGCGACCTCGGCCCAGAGCAGGAGAAGGAACGGTTTTTAGTCAGTAAGAGTCTGACACTCTCTCTCGCCTTACACTGGGCGGGAAAAGTAATTTAATGATTTCTTCTGATAAAAAAAAGCCAAATAAAACTCATTTTAATAAGTTAATATACCTATATATAGCCCATAAGTTTATTATTTTCGTCGGACTTTCGTGGAATCCAATGACGAAAATATCTACAGTTCGCAGTGGAGGCTTCACTCAATGTAATTGTTACTGACGGCAACATTGCCCTTTGAGATGTTTGATTAAGTCCCTAGTTACTGATGGATGGCCCTAGACGATTGCTTCGTTACTGACAATCGATGAGTGGGAGGTTTCGCTGATAAAGTGATAAAATCCGTTGGTAGTAACATCATGATGCCAGGCTTTTATACTTTAAGTTCATATAACATTTAAGTTCAAGAAAAGATCTTCTTGATTTAATTTTGTATGTTCGGCAGACCAAATTTTAAGTGTGGGGGGAGAGCCATGCTTTGGCACGAATTTGTCAGCTGGACCGGAGTGATACCAGGGCCTCACAGAAAACCAGCGTGAAACAATCTCAGCGTTGTGTTTCGCCGTGTGAGTGAGGTTACCGGATGTCCAATCCTTTCCCTCTCCCAATCCCTTCCCAATCTCTAAATCTCCAAATTCCCTAATCCCCTAAAGGACGGCAACGCACTCGTAACTCCTCTGTTACGGGTGTCCATGGGCGGCGCTGATTGCTTACCATCAGGTAATCCGTCTGCTCTACATTTCGTCGTCTATTACATAAAAAAAACCTATTGATTATGGGGTAGGGGTCAAATGATTTGAAGAAAATAAATTTCATCGGTGAATCACATTCTTTTTTTTTGAGAAGTTCTCCTTCTCCAGGCCAAGGCTGTAGAACCTTAATGCGCAACCAACGGCAAGCTATCCCTCGTCCAAAGTTATTTCAGTACAAGAATAGTAACGAACTCAGCAAAGTGAAGCAGGAAGAAATTTTCGCGGAGTCATTTAAATAAAAAACAGTTCCGCCGCTGGCAATTACTAAAGTCTCGCCAGCCTTAATCCTCGTTCTGACGAAGAAAAACTCCCCAAATTAATAGTGCAGCATCCTGATTAATTATGCGGAGATCCGTACCTACCCTGCCCGTTCCCATTATTTGAATTTCGTTAGTTACTTTATTTTCCTAACTATTCTATAAGAGGCGGAATTAATAAAGCAGTGCCACGTTTCTGAATAAATCTCCGAGAACTGGTAATTGGATTGAAGTGGATTCACTATTACTTGCAAGTTTTTAAGAAAATATTTCATTTTTGTCTTTCACTAGCGGCACGTCCCTGTTTCGCGGATGTCCAACTACCTCGCTACTGACGAAAGGGTCGCTATTTTTATTTTTTTTTGTAAAATAAGTATTTAAAATAATTCTACGTTAATACGTCTAATTGAAATTATGTATGTGCCTTCACTATTGTTGACTGTGTTATTGGGATGAACATTATGGGTGTAAATGATTTTAGTATTAACTCCTACGATATGCAATTGTTCATAAAGCACAAAAATAAAAATGGAAAATAAATAAATTTGGTGTGGAGGTACTTAAAGGAATGTATCTTCAAACATGATTTTTAATAAAAATATGAACTTTTCGAATAATCTTATCATAGTAGGAATACAAATTTTCAGCCATCTCTGTTTTTAGTTTTATAATAAAAAATGAGAGGAAAAAACTAATTTATTACACGTTGAAAATCTTCAACGTTTCCAGCGTCTGACGAACCATTCCAAACTAAATACCTTTTGATAATATTTAAGTAGTGAATATTTAATTATTTGACTTCAAATTAAATATTTAGCAGTTGGGAAAGTTCTAGAATTTTGGCAACGAATCGTCTGCCTATTTAGAGGGAGATATTGTGTTCTGCCCTTAAATGTCTAGGAATCTGAGACCCTTTTTCTACAAACCTATAAAGCGCTTATCATAGTTTTCCTGGAAAGGCAAAAGGATTCTGTGACGTATACCTATGTACGTACAACGCACAATCAGGGTTGTCGCTACTCTATTTTAGCTTTAAATTTGACATAAACATTCTGCCGTTGCCAGCATTATAAATCTACTGTGATGAGGGACCAACTTTACATCGTTTTTTTAGGTAGGTTTTAGACGCAAATCCATTTTACGAATGAAGAATTTACGTAGATATTCTTCTAAAACACGTTACCTGAGCCACGTTTTTTCTGTCGTAATTTGTGAGCTTCGTTGGTTTTTTCGTGTATCCAGGGTCAGAAAACTTAGTAGGTAACAATATAATAAAATTTACGATGGTCGTAACACAGAGAAATACAAATAATACTCTATCACCATGATTATACGACTCAATTTGAAGATAGTACGTATCTAAATGTACAGCATTCAGTACAAATGTAAAGCAATAAATTTATACTGCGATATTTTAGGGAGCTGCTTAATGAATCGTTTAACGGTTATGATAAACTATCAAAGACTCAAACATTGATTGCCAAAGAGTAAAACTGCCATAAAAATAAATAAGCAGGTAACTAAATTTATTGGCATGTGTACTGTTCAAGTTTCTCAAAGAAATAATTCCTCAAAGACATCGAAGAAAACAACTTTAGCAATATCTGTGCGACCCTTTCAAGTGTAACTACGCATCGTGGAGGCAACCCTACGAACGCGATGTAAAAAAAATATACAAATGATTTTACGAACAACGGCGGGATAGGCAAAGGTAAAAGAAATTATCCTAAGTAAGGAAACAAGGCACGTGATTTATTGATAACCTCACTGAAACTGGGGCTGGGCAAAACAAGCGAATAAGGAAGATAAATGAATTACTTTCATTTCGAAAGATCCATTTGTGCTAAACCTTAAATGTTTTTTTAGTGTGATAGATCGCGTTACCTGACTGATATTTGTTGTTTATCTACACTAGTGTACCTAGCAACATGTCTTCAAACTTCAGTTAATAGGTTCCACCTATTGATAGATAAACATTTTTACACAGAGGGAAAATAAAGCGTCTGTTATATTTTGATAAAAATATAATTTTTTTTTGGCTGGGGAAATAGATTGTCATACATAATACTGACTAAAAACCAACCCGTTCCTTGTCCTGCTCCGGACCTGGGCTGCAGTTCTTGAATTGCAACCCCGGCTGCAATTCTGTTTTTCGCCGATGAAGATTTAGGCATGTTACATCAAATCATTTCGTAATTTTTATTATAACTATCGTGAGATATACCAAATTAACTAAAATTAGCACAGCCTAGGTTAGGCAGCCTAGGTTAGGCAGCCTAGGTTAGGCAGCCTAGTAGGCTGCACGACATCGCCGCGTCCGCACACGCTGCTCATGATGAAGAACCCCTCTGTGGTTCGA